GACAGTTTATCATTTCGTTTTTGAAATTAACAATTGATATATATATGTATTTGCTTATTTATGATTCATTGTCAGAAAAATACGGATTGTACTTTATATTATTATTGTTATCGAAAAACTGTGTACTGTTACACGAATGCAGAAGAAAATCAAATCAAATCAAATCAAATGATCGCAAAAACAGCAACTTAATTAACACACTTGTTTGTTCACTTTTATTGTCGTTATTAAAAAAAAAAAGCACTTTTGCAAACATCTACTTTGATCATTGTTATCTTCTTATGTTTTTTCTTCCTCCGCTCTTTATATCGGAAATCTGCAGATGAGTCCTGCATGAATTGCATCTCAATTGGTGTCAATGTCAATATCTCACTCTTCAAGCTATTAGCACTGATTTAAAGAACATTCATGGTTGAGAGGAAGAAGAGAGGAAAAGGCACTTTGAATTGTATGGAGGAAGAGTATATAGTTAAAGTGTTCAATAAGCGTACAATATTATTATGTCAAGCAACAAACTGAATACTGCGCAGTAATTTTGCAGAATGGTTACACTATTTTGATGAATACGTTTTTCAGATCTTCCACGATCCATGACTAAAAAAATATTCACTTAAAAATAGGATATGATGACAATGAAAATGTTTCTTCTACAAACCAATATATCTTCGATAAGTTTCAAAGACTCCCTCTTTTACCCATATAACATTCACATTCAAAACAATAGTCATGAGAGTCACGACGGGGGGGGGGGGGGGGGGGGGGGGAGTCCTACCTCTTCAACTTTTCGGCGCTCTGCTCTGCTGCATGCAGGAGGGAGACGGTATCCTCTAATACATCTCCCGGTGCGCACCCGAGACGAGAGGACATAGTTGGGGTCTAGAGTTACGGCTCGGAGATGGTTCTGGTTCAGGTCGGTAGGGTGAATGTTGTCCGGTCCGTAACCGTTATGGCGGTCATGAATGGCAGCGTCAAAGAGCTCCTTGAAAACCTGTCACATTCCAAGGAAACATAAGACATTGATGTATAAACAGAAGGAGGCAGATGGAGAAGCCAGGATAAAAGAAGTCAAGAAGAAGAAGAAGAAGAAGACGAAAAGGTAAAGTAAATGAAGAGAATTGAAAGAGGAATCAAAGGAACAGAAGAAGAAAAGAAAGAAAGAGAAGAAAAAGTAGCGGTGAAAAAAACTCAGATTACTTTCTTTACATTTTATTTCTACTTTCCTTTTTAACTCTGTCAGATTGCAGCGAAAAGGTCATTCATCTTCGTCCCTTACCTTTCCTTCATCCTGCTTCTATTTATCCTCTTTGTCATCCTCAAAATATCTGTCTTTGCGCTTCCCCTCATTAAGAACGATCGACATCTTCATCTGCATCTCCTAATTTAGCATAGTATTGATATCACGATAAAATAATAAAATATAATTTTGTTTCCTTACAAACATCACAACTTACAGCTGCATCATATTTTATTGAGAACATTACCTCGTATGATTCTTCATCCCCTGCTACTATGCCAACGGTCATGATATAAGGATGTCCCGGGTTGTCCACTCCGGTCTGGATGCACTGGTCAAGCGTCCAGCCCGTACTGGTCCTCCTGTCACAGAGCTTGGAGTAGAGTTTGACCGTCAGGTACTTGGCCATGATGTTGTTATGCTTGACCAGGTCCGGATAGCAAGAGATACCGGTAGGGCGTGGCCTGGTCAGCTGGCGGGAACCCCCACAGCATTTAAACTTTCTGTGTGTCCATCAAAACCAATAAACAATATTGTTGAGTGTGAGACTCAAGTTCAAACCCTGATTTAAACTGTCGCTCAACTTTAGATCTCTCTTTCTCTCTCTCTCTTTCTCTTTCTGCCTCTCTGTCTCTGTCTCTCTGTTTCTCTCTCTCTCTCTCTCTCTCTCTGTCTCTTCCTCTATCTCTCTTTCTACAATAAGACTACGCCTGATCTTGATGGAAACTTCAGTGCGAATTCTCTTAAACTCCCAGGTATATCTTCCATACCATAATTATTCATTAAGCAGTTCATTGTTATATTGTTTTATGAGCTATATAACTCATCAGTACATTACCCCTGTTTATAACAATTTATACTTCCAGCACCTTTGCATTTTTGTTAAAGGTACTACATCCCTTTTGCAGCCAACCTCAAATGCTGTAGAACTTTGCAGGAATTATGAATATGTCATGTATGTCCTATCTGTGAAATTTAAACGTTAGCAGTGTCCTCATATTCAAATTATGCAAGAAAACCCGTTTACTTGCTAGACTTCACTCTCAGACAATATTGAGTGTCTGACTGGCTTTTTTTCTTCTTTGGTAATAACATACATGAAAAGAGTTGTAAAGGGTACATGAGCATTTGTCTACATCAATAACCCACTTCTTGTGATGGCCAAGATTAAACTGATTAAATCTTTGCGCAGCATAAAACGTATGACCATTCGGTACAATTGTCTGAAAATCAAGACTATTACTTTTGGGCTCTGTAGCCCTAAAGTCGATTTGACAACTAATAGTCGTTATTTTCCCACTTAAAGACATTTTCAACCCCCAACTTTGTTAGGGAAGTTCTAAAGTAGTATTATCTTTCAAATGCAGTTGGAATTTAACTTTTTCATTTTTTTGGCCTGCAAATGGGACATAGTACCTTTAACGTAATAATTTGTAGAAACAGTAACATACCCATAGTACACTGCACCGACCCCGAACAGAGCTCCCAATGCTAGTGCTGCCACTTTAGGGTTATCCTTAAAAAATTGAAAAGCTTCTTCAATTTGTTTCTCCATTGCGATACTTTGAATGATAAAAAATGTTCTTCCTCAAAAAAATAGTATTCGCCTTGTGATTTGATACTAGCAGCTTTTGTTTTCAACTTGTTCAAGTGATCGTGAGCCAGCGGAGATGTGCTTAATATGCCATTAACACCTGTGATTTGTTTGGCTGCGCGCTACCTACATGATCTTAGAAACGACTGGATTACGTCATCAAAGAAGTAGAAAACACATGCGCAAGAAGTATGCGCGCGGTATATCTTACGTCATTGGTTAAAAGTTGAGCTGCGCGCGTGGTGTACGCACGTACGTAGTAGTGTATTAACAGGACAGTGGTGTATATTAATTTGTGTCGTCTGCAGTAAATTATTTAAAAAATGTGTACCATGCCCGGTAGTGGTACCATAAAAGAAAAAAAATAAAAGAAATAAAAAGAAAAAGAGGAAGAAGAAGGAGAAGGAGAAGTAGAAAAAGAAGAAAATTGGGCAAAAAGAATTTCCGTTTCAGTTTAATAAAATTTGGAGTGGACTATTAGGCTATTACTATTATTATTATTATTATTAAACAAAACAAAAAGAAGAAGAAGAAGAAGAGTTTATATGATTTCCTGGGTACACGGGATAGGCTTCTCAAGATTTTAGCTCAATATTTGACATTACCTCATCAACTCGAGTCTCTAAGAAAAGTAATTAAGGCATCTCTCTGAGCGTCAAACTTGTTGAGGTATAGGCCCTAACCACCAAGGTATCAACAGGCGGAGGACCCCCTTTTCATATCCCCTCCCCCTTTCAAAAAATGGGCGGATATCATAGCACCCCCCCCCCACCACCACCACACACACACGCTTGGGTTTAGTTTGCAATGCTTTAAAATGCCCAATGCTTTTGAATACCCAAACAAATAAATAATCAGGCCTTATTGCTTTCACATGTCATCATGTTTTAAAGGTACTATGTCCCATTTGCAGCCAACATCAAATTCTGTAGAAATTTGCAGGAATTATGAATATGTCAATTCGATTCAATTCAGTTCAATTTAACTTATTCCAATCCATTAACAAAAAGGTAATAAATTGGAAACAGATTGTATATCGAGAACATAATTACATGTAGGATACACAGTACAGTATATAAATTGAACTTTAAACACAAAATCAAAAAGAGAAGTAAAGACAAGAGTAAAAAAATTAACATGTTTACAGCACAGAAATAGATAATAATTCAAATTCAAATTCAAACGTTATTGTCCAATTATTGGAAATTTGTTTCGTTTGCATAATCAATACACAATTACAGATTATAAACATCAATAAGAAACAAATGGAAACAAAATAAAACAATTGATTTGAACATAGACAACAGGAGATGCAATAGCACAAAATGCAGGCCAAAATTTAATTCATTATTGAGACTAAGTTATTAAATGCAATTCATAATTCAGACCAAATGAATATGAAATGGGAAACTGCAAAAGTGTCGATCGAGGCAGTCCCCAGCCTAATAAAATACCTAAATTTGTACTGATAAAGACTTAGAAAATCATAGTGACATTATCGCATAAAAAAATATAAAAGTTATAAAAGGTATAAAAGTTGGGATGGATTAATCATTTTGCAGAGTATGTGAATAAAAAGTCCTTAAGTTACGATTTAAACAAATTAAGAAATGAAATTGTTTTAACATAATGAGGAATTCAAACGTTAGCAGTGTCCTAATATTCAAATTATGCAAGGAAACCCGTTTACTTTCTAGACTTCACAGGCAGACACTATACTGAGTGACCGACTGACTTTTTGTTTTCTTAGGTAATATCATACAGAAAATGAGCTGAAAATGGTACATGAGCATTTGTCTACATCAATATTAGGCTGCTACTACTTTGGACACTAACCCCAACAATCTCTTCATGGAAAAAAAGAAGAAAGAGATGCCTCGAGGGGCAAAATGAGGCCACTCTTCTTTTGTACTAGAAAGTGTAGGCATAATTATATTGCATAGGCCTACACTTTTTAGTACGTCTTCAAATCAAGTATCTTTTTAATATTTGAATGCGTAGAAACTGGTAGAAAGAGATTTGATGTTAAATTGTTGTTTTTCATAATTTATACATGATAATTATGTCGCAGGGCTCTTGCCGTCTTTCCGAGAAAATTAATGATCTGCTCGTGCTCCTTTCTACTAGTTCTTTGGCTTTGCTAGTACGTCACTCGTAATCTGACACCCGGAAGTTGCCATCATATAAGATTGTCGTCTGCGTACAGCTTCAGTACACTTTGTTGCAGCTCAGCTCAGGAACGAAGGTAAAACAATTTGCCTAATTATGATTAAAATTACACAAATGCTACATGTAGCTTGATATTCAATGTATGGAACTATGTTATAAATCAATAGTAATTTAATTCTACTTGTTCAGCATTTACATCGACGCCGGTTTGGATTGTACATTATCCATTGCTCAGTCCCATGCGTGTTGATGTACTCTAGACCCTACTGCAAATGTCCCAATAAATATGAGTAACTTTCATTTGCTGCACTGCACTGTTCACTGTTGGCAGTGTGAATATATTTTTGCTGCTGATAACGCTTCTTCATTCATGATTCTTGATCGACAGGTGTTAATGAGTATGAATGTTTCATTATTAGTAGCATTATGTGAGGAATACCCTGATAGATTCTAGATCTAGATCTATTTGATAACTACGAGAAAGTTGTTATCTTCGATCTTTGCAGTGCAGCGCTAGACTTCTTCTTCCAATTAGAGTATCTGGACGAATTTTCAATTATAGAGTATTGTCGTACTATACTGGGTGTGCAGGTGGACCACTTTACACCGGGGTTGCCCCCAACTCTTATAATAGTGCAATGGGTTCTTAATGTGCAAAGGTGGTGACTCTTCTCCACATGGGGCCTCATTTTAACGTCCTATCAGAGGGATAGAGTGTTTTCCATTTAACATAGCCTGTGTCTATGAAACAATGGGAAGGGCACGTTGACACACAGTGCAGGCTTTAGTCATCTGCCTGGGTGGGATTCAAACCAGAGATCTTTGGTTCAACAGGCAGACGCTTTACCGACTGAGCCAACTCGCCTCCTGTTTAATTAATTAATTATTTGTAGACCTAGATCTATGTCAATTTTTTTTCTAAATTTTTTTCATTTGTGAGTTCAAACCAATGGATAACGTTCAGTCTGTAGATATTTTCAAAGAACAAAATGGTTTCTGAGATCAAGGTTATGTTCAAAATAATGAAATGCAACTTGTGACGAACTTAAAACCTGTGTGGGGATTCTAGTCTCGGGAAGTTGCAAAATGCCTCTTGGCTCTAATTCTTTTTAACTTCTAAGAATGCTTTTTGTCTCGCCAGCGTAGCAAAAAGCAAGACATAGGCGCCGCTTTTCTGGTGACGGCGGCGACGGCAGCGTCAACATCAAAAACTTAACCCGAGGTGTTAAGTTTTTAAATTTTTGATATAGTTTTGAAAGTATAAGTCCTTAGTCAATGAAACTTGGACTATAGGGTTATCAAGTATCCCCAATCATGTGAGTTGAATTTCAGGTCACAAAGTCAATGTCAAAGGTCATTTCAGGTCAACAGACTTCGTTGTGGCATCAACATCAAGATTTTGATTTTCAGCATATTTTCAAAAGTGTTTGTTCAAATTTCATAAAACTTGTACCAAGGGTTATCAAGTATCACAAATCATGTGACACTAATTCCAGGTCACAAGGTCAAAGGTCATTTTAGGTCGGTCATCTTGGATTATTTTTTAACAACTTAATATGAGAATAAATGAATCAATTGTTGTTATTTGTTCATGATTCTTAGTCAATATTCACTTCAAAATGCTGATTATATTCAGAGGATTTCAATTTTGGGGGCCTGCTAATAGGCCACCCTGCCTATAAATATTGTTCCAACCTCAATTTTTCATCATAAAATTATCGAATTGCGTAATGCAGACGAGACCGCCGAGAGCGTTTCCCTTGGTTTTTTTCTGTGGTGACACAAATATATATTAATTTCAAAGACTGATTGCTCTTTTAAATCCAATTAAATATGTGGAGTATTAAATCTTATTTTAAATTGGATTGCTCTATGATGAAAAAAAGAAAAGATTGAGATTAATGGCCAGCCATATTTGTTAAATTTCTTATTGATTCCTTCCACAGGAGTGACAGGACTGACAGCACTATTTTGTTACTCAGAGATTGAGGTCAGAACATCAAAAGCATCTGTATTACAAACACAATATTGTCATGAAATTCATATTATGATCGAGTAGAGAAGAAAGGTATGTTTTTTTTTTATATTCTAATTCCTTTAACCAAACCTTTTTACTTCTCATGTATGTTTCACAGTCTGAGAACCTTTTCGTCTCAGACTTAAAATCATAAAGCTGATCATCGGGAGTGGCATTGTACTATACTATCTTGTTATAAACTCTCAAGAAGAAGAAAAGGCAGTCAAGCAAATTTAGTCATTTAATAATTCTATTGCAGAATCAGGAAAAGGTATTGAAGAAAATCGGCGCTAGTGTAGTTCCGTATCCATTTTTTTTAGCAGTTTAAAAATCCATTCTAAGCAAAGGAATTTTAGCCCAATGTTTAACTAATTTTAATCATAATCATTGCATTTCCCACCTGAATTTGGATCACATTCGACATCGGAAAACCTTCGTTTAGGGCTTCGATGTCGACGTCGTCGCTCAGTACCGTCTCTACGCTGTAGTCCTGCACCTCAAACTGAAACTATCAGTACAAAATTTTGCGGACTTCTCGTATGGTTTATAGTATCGCCCATACGAGAAGTCTGCATAATTTTGGACTGATAGCTGAACAGTTCCTGGATATCTACACAAATGCTAGTTATAAAGTATGTGCCCTTAAAGAGCTCTACAGCTGTGTAAAATATCGTTTATTTTGTATGTTATCTGGTTGGTTTTATTATGGTTAAACTCATATATATGGATTGATGTCAGAATTTTTCTTTGAAGTGGATTTCATTTGTGGTGAAGTTCTTGTATACAGGGAGTCATATTTCTCCGGTGAAAACCTACATGTTCAATGTGAGAGTCTGTAAATTATGTGATGTGCTTTTTGGATACTGTTTTTATTGTGTTATTACAACAGGAATATATTTTGTGTATCTTTGTACAACGTGTATTACAGTTTAAAATTCAATTTTCCCCATTAATGTATGATATATGTTGTATTTGTTTTTTAATGAGTTAATCTTCAAAACAAAATAAACTGGTATATAAGGGAGAGAGGGGATAGAGAAGGAGAAGAAGAAAGAAGAAGGAGGAGAAGAAGAAGAGTAGTGAATGGAAAGGAAATGAAAGATGATATGTGGCAGACTTACATGTACCAGCATAACTTGTTAAATTATGTAGAACACAGTGTTACTGTGAACAGATGGCACTGATTTGTAAATGAGCGTATACTGTGCTGGTACATACAGGTATAGAGCAAACAATTATTGTTTGAGTTTGACATATATGTACAGAAACTTGGAGTTACAGTTAAGTATAATTTCCTTTTATTATGACACAATTTATGATATAAAATAGGATATTATTTTGTTTGTGAGTATCCTATTTGCTGAAAAGGTGTCACTTATATGTGCATGAGCATGCAACATAACCTTCTTTACATGGTATATATCACATTCAAAAGTGAATTAAACTACACATCGGTATTCGGTAACCATTGTTTGCATCGTCTTAGATCTGATGCAAACAAATGTAGTCAAGAGGGCTCAATGCCAAAGGATCAATATTAGCCTTCATTTCATATTACAAATATTGCTTGCATTTCTTTGTTCAATATTTATATATTCACCTCCAAATTAAAACTTCCCTTTGTACCATGATATTTTAATCTCACTCAAAAAATTCTGAATTTGTTATGTTGAACGCTGGATTATGCAATATTTATCAGCCAAGAGAAAATACAGATGAGGATGAGACATGCAAAAATGTGTGATTGTACAAATGTCATAGTTGTGTGGTTTAAAGACTTGTCTGAAGATGAAGGTTTGTGGGTGTGAGCCTAGGTATGGCTATACATGTATGTGAAAGACATGAATATATATTTGCCACCCTATACCCAGGTGTGGCAAATGAACCCCAGGTAGGATGAAATTCTAGAAATACTGTTAGGCGAGTCTGAGCACTGAAATAGATAACTTCCTGATTTTAGTTAGGGTATCATAAATTGTGAGCGCATTGCATGAAGAATAGAAGTGATTTAGTGCTACCGGTATTCAAGAAGCCAATATTAATATTATTATTTCAACATCTAATACACGACTTTGTTACTTCAATTTCAGCGCCAATCACATCATTAGTCTGCAGTTGTTATTCAAATGGCAAGATGGAAGAAGAACGGTGGCAGCTATTGGTGGAGGAACAACAACGGAATCACCATGACAGCAAACGGAGAAAAAGATGCAGGTCAGCCAATGCTGGGTTGGACCGAGGATCAGGAAGACGATTATTATCTCAGTAAGTTTCTTCCTCTTCTTTTTTTGTAATCATTTTAAGAAATCTTTTCGAGGAATTTGACAATCTTTTGCTTTGATTTTCTATTTAACCATTACCTGTCATTTATAATCAAATAAAAATGATGTGCGGATATTTCTACCCCTGTAATCCTCGGTAAGAAAGTAAATACAAAAGTGCGTGGTGAAAAATATGACTTCCTCTGTATATTCATAAACCAGAATGTAGCTATAAATTATAGGATCCAATAGGAATGGTAACACCGAAATCATTTTATCTTTGTTTTTTACAACCTCAAAAGTATAAATCACATACTTTATGTAAACATTTATGATCTTTTGTGTAGGGGTCATGTAAATCACATTGTAACCATAAACCTTCACCCTCATTGCCAAGGTGTAAATTAAGATATCTGTAGAACACTCGCAAACAGCCAGTCATTGTGGGCATCTTGCAGGTCTCTGTCGTTGCTCCCGCAGATTTAGTCTTTTTCTCTCTAAATTGTTTCAATTGTTTACGTGTATATGTGAAAATCATCAAAAACATAAAGTCAGAGTGAAAGAGTAAAGGTGCTTCATTCAAGTTCATTGGAAGAAAGCTGTTGTCATGTCTGGTCGCAAAAACTCTTATGAAGGTAAATCTATGTAATTTTGTTAAAATGTTAAAATGACATCCGCAATCCGTATTTTAGACCAATTTATGAACAAGTGAATCAGTTCTGTCCGTCTCCATTTTAAAAGTATATTTTTGAGAATGCTTTGGAATGACATTGTATCTACATTTAATAGAGATAGTAACAATGAAATGATAAATTTTCACAAACTTTTATATGTTTTTGTTGTTGAATAGGACCTGGTTTGAGGTTCGCCCTAGCCAGAGAAAAGAAGCAGGATCGCTGTCTAGCCATCTTGACGTTTGTAGCTTTCTTTATGCTTGTCGTCATTGGCACCTGCATTATAGTTCTCACAACCAGGCACTATGTGGTAAGTTCTGATGATGTAATTAATTAATGTCAAATAAAATATTAAATGATGGAATATCGTAGCTCACCAGCTGTTCAGAATACACTGTAGGTGTGTGAATCCATTGTTGGTGTGATCGCAATTGATTAATCATGGACTTGTTACTCATCTGATCAAGGAATGCTGTATAAAATTAGATATTAGACATGATGAAATGTCTGGGGGGAAATGAAATGATTTGCCTCCTGGAAATTGTCGCAATTGATTAATCATGGACTTGTTACTCATCTGATCAAGGAATGCTGTATAAAATTAGATATGAGACATGATGAAATGTCTGGGGGAAAATGAAATGATTTGCCTCCTGGAAATTGTCAAAGCTATCAAACTATCCCGAATCCACACACAACAAACCCATCGTATAACTATCCCGAAACGGTATAGTAATACAATGAAATTGTGTGTGTGAACGCTTAATAACGATACGTTGTATAATGAAACGCGGTTCTGGGCATCGTTTCGGACTAGAACTTGATAAAGAATCACGGAATGTGTTGTGTTTTGACGCAACTAGTCGGAATGAGGTATAACTAGGCGGGGCTTAAGGTGATCGCGCGCAAAAGAAGACCTGACCTCTCATTTCCGCATCCGTTTCAAGACTGAAGTAGCAACCTGCGCACCTATACGACATTTCGCTGTAGAGTTTCGGGATTACTTTCTTGTGTGTGTGGACGCCCTGGAATTTATATGATGATTCTTTATACAACATTTCTTTATAGAGTTTCGGGATAAAAAAAATTTGTGTGTGGACACACTGTATGATGCATCATGTTTTGTTGTTTTCATAAAACGGCTGTATGTGAAATCAGTGCTATAATAATTTGTCTGTGTTACATGTGATACCACCCAAGAATCAAGAGTGTTGCTAATGATTGCCATTTTGTGCCTCACTAAAATAGATGGTACTAGATATCTTTAAGTTGCTACTGTGGGACTTTAGGGACTGTGAGACTGTGGAAATTGAGGAGCAATGCCTTACCAAAGTACACTGCTTGTAGTGCATCGACTGGGATTCAAACCTTGGACCTCGCGGTTATGAGATTACTACTCTCCCTCTGAGCTAATTACGTCTCATATATCACATTTAAAGAAAGCTGGATTTGGGGGTTTTGATTTGTTTTCTGTACAGAAGCCATGCACAGTATGTGATTCGGTGGAGAGTGCAATGAACTTGAGCGTGGATCCATGCCAGGACTTCTACGAGTATACCTGTGGTAACTGGGTTGCCAATGTGAAAGTACCAGAAGGATACTCCAAGTGGGGAACGTTTGGAGAAGTCTACAGCCGGAATAACGATTTACTTTTAAAGGTAGGTAACAAATACTGAACTGTCTGATAAGCTTAAGCATACACTGTTATTTTTTTAACTATGACAAATGAATCTGCATGTCATGGGAAAGTTCTTTAAAGAAAGTCATACATATACAAATGTAAAATGTAAAGGCAGCACTGGTATTTGAGCTTTTTCACATTATCCAAATTGCTCTACCATTCGATTGCAATACTAGTGAAATAATTTCTACTATTTTTAAGGACAGAAATAATTTTTGTCTTCATTTTTTCATATATGGATGATGATATGGAATCATGATTTTTGTCATTCCAAGGTGATTTTTGCCATTTATTACATACTTCATAACAGATTCAAGTATATCTCATGATTTACAAAGTTGAGAAACCTACCACAGTTTTTGATGAGATGAACTATCAAGAATAATGATGTTTTCGGTGTTAACCACATTCAGTATTCAGTATTACCTTAAAGTTAAATGTATTAGATCAAATACTGTGCACTTTCCCATTGCCCCATATACTGCAGCTTCTTGCAGAGGAGGGATATGAATACAATGGAAATCACAGCGAAGCCCTGAGAAAAGCTAAGAACTACTACCATGCATGTATGAATGTGACAGCCATTGAAGAAGCAGGTTCAGCACCACTGAAACAGGTAACACTAATCTACATTTGCCACACTCCACCCAGGTGAGGTAAATGGATACCCGGTAGGAAAGAATTCCTTGAATGCTTGAACACCTTTTCATGGTAGCTCGGCTAAAGCCTAGGTAATGATATGATTGCATGGTCCTCAGGGTGAACAATTTTACTACTGGTCATCCTTGATAAAAAAACAAGACATATATTATTATTATTATTATTATTATATCCTGATTAAGAGAGAATTTGACAAACAGCTCCCTTCTCCGGCCTTTTTTGCGGGTCTGCCCCCACCCCCTCCCGCACTAAGCTAATGATTATAAAATGTATGTTATTCATACTAATCTATAAGTCTCCATGTTGCGTATATTTCATGACAAGCTTAGTGATATGATCATATCTGGAATACAGTATTTCATAATCATATCTGCAATAAAATACAGTTGTGTGGAAGAATCAAAACATTCAGATAAAAACAAATATGTTGAAATTTTAACCATGTTGACTGAAATTTGAATTGCTACCAGGACTTTCTCACTTACAATTTTTTTTTAATTGAAAACAGCTCTTTATGCAAGAGAACCCAGATCACACATACATGCCATATCATTTCATTTGATTATTCCTCATCTTCATCTCACAGTTGTTGAACCAGCTTGGTGGCTGGAGCATCCTACCACGGAACACACCTGGTATCGTCGACTGGGATGAAACCTCATTTGACCTCACCCGAGACTTGACATCCATCCATCTTAAAGATGGGTCTCCTCTCTTCGATATGGGAATTGCTCCCGATGAGAAGAATTCCAGTGTCGGGATCATACAGGTAAATGGAATCAAATTGCATTAGTTTATTTTCATCGTTTAGTGCTATTTTGTCTACAACCAGTTCGTCTACTACCAAATTTGTCTATTCCCATATGGTCTACACCCAGCCCGTCTAATATCCACATGGTCTTATGATCATTTGGTCTAATTATCATTGGTCTAATGATCATTGAGGCTAAAAGCCATTTGGTCTAATTTCTATTTCGTCTAATCTCTGATGAGTCTTCTACCTATTTGGTATGTTGCTCATTTAGTCTAATTTTCATTGGGTCTAATTCCCATTTTGTCTGATGCTCAATTTGTCTTCTATCCATAAGGTATTATAAACATTCAATCATAAATAATAATAATCATCAAATGATTATTAGACCTGGGGGGTGTTTCACAAAGATCCTAAGTAGAACTTAACTCTAAGTTGAACTTAAAAATTATGGACAGCCATTGGAGTCTTAAAATGAAATATATTCAAAAGCAGAAATTCAAGTATTTTAGACTTTTTATAAATTCCACATCCAGAACATGAAATCTCCTTGATGATAGAAAATATGAATGATTTGAATAAACAATTAATACCTTTCAAAATAACTTTTACAAAATATTTTCAAAGATGCTAATGGCTTTCCATAATTTTTAAGTCCAACTTAGAGATAAGTTCAACTTAGGATCTTTGTGAAACACCCCCCAGGTGATGAAATGAGAATTAGACTAACTGGTTAATAGATTAAATGAAGGATAGACCAAATGGGTAGTAGACTAATCGGAGATTAGACCAACCGATATGTAGAGGAAATGTTGTCGATAGCAGATGGGCTTGGTGGAGACCATAGGGAAATAGACTAAATGTGTAGTAGACAAACTGGTTGTAGGCCAAACAGCAATTCACCAGATACAATAGGAAATAAAGTTAAAGGTACAAACTATAGACTTGAGTTTCAACATATGTAAATTTACATTATGACAAAGAAATTGGCCTCGCAATATATTTGTTCATCCTTTATATGTAAACTGAAGAGGAGAGAAAATTAGAATTGAAATTTGTTTGTCTCAACGAAAAGGGATTTCATGGTCCATCAATTCCGGTACTTATTGTGTGGTACTTGCAACAAATGATTTTGTGTGATATTTAGTAATTTTCCCATATTTTTCTCATCCAGTTCGTCCAGGATGGCATAGGCTTCAATGCAATTGAGCTCTACTCCGATAATGTCACAGTAAGTTTGTAATTCTATTTGAATAATTTACTGATCAAAAATATACACTGTACTAGAGTCATTTTCATATGCAGCCACTGTGTTATTGAATAACTTACATGAATACCTTAGAAATATAGAAACAAACAAAAATTGAGAAGCTTAGAAATATAGAAACAAACAAGCTCAGAAGTAATTTGAAAACACACTATTTTTATTTAGGGCTTTTTAAAATCTCACAATTATAAACCAAGTGCATCATTTCCACTTCTGCTGTATTATGTGTTGTAAAGCGCACAGAGACAGGCAATTATGCTTGATGTGTTATGTACTGTAACAAAATGTATAATTATTATTAGAGTGTTAAGAAAGCAGGTAAAAGTATACATGTATCTATGCCAGCATTAAAGTGAGCATCTTCTTCTTCTTACATTGAGTACAATCCTCTTTATAGAGTATAGTCATACTTTGACTGTTCAGCTAACAGCTCTAAGTCCTATCTCAACCCCATCTGAGCAAGCAACAACGTTTTTTGACGGGTTTTTCCTGTAGTGTAAATAGCAGTAACAAAAATTTAAAAAAATAAAAAAATAAAATAAAAAATAAAAAAATAAAAAATAAAAACATTTTCAAATTGGTCTTTTGGCTGGGTAAATGAACCTAGTGTTGGAGGTGAATTTGAAGAAATTGTGCAATATTTGTTTGTTCATTCATATATTTTCTCACATTCTCGTCACATATTTTATCTTCATTCCTAGACTCATGAGGAGGCATACGCTGCACTGGGAGCCAAAGTGGTCTTGCTTCTCTCTCTCGCTGACGATGAAAGTGTAGTCTTAGAAAATATAACAAGCCATTCCAGTTATGCACCTGCCTTAGAAAGAATGAGAAATATAGTCGAGTTTGAAGCTAATATCAGTAAAGTAAGTATCATTTTTTTTCTTCAAATTATAGTATTTGCTTTGTGTGATTATAATAGAAGATGGAAAAGAAATATGTGAGATTGAAATGCTGCCCATTTTGTTGTTTTAGACTTCCTTTGTGATTTTCTGTAACGTAGTGGAAAAGTGGAAAAACCAAAACTTAGTTTTGTAATCATGAAATGATTTTCTCAAATTACATTATAAAGATACTTCGCATTTGATTACAATTGCATTACAAATTTGCACTTTTTTCTCTTGTAGAAAGTATAGTTTGTTAGATAGTTGGTTTGATAGCATATTTTTTTTCTAAGACAGACATTTTTATCTTTTTTATTGTACTTGGATTCCTTAAATTGATTTCATGTCATAATTGTTTATAGTTATGTTCGAATTGAAATGAAAAAAAAACTAAAATTGAAACTGAAGCCTTTTATACGATAAGTCTTAAATGCCAGTTATCTACAGTTATCATTTACTGCAATCATGTACTCCATTTAAAAAATCTATTGTAGAGTACATCTGATTTCATCCTTTATCCTCAACACAGATATACATGCCTAAAAATCTTGTCAGAGACCCGTCCAAAACATACACAAAAGTTACTGTGAAAGAGTTTGCTGATATAATTCCTCAAGTAAGTGTCAGATTTTATCAGATACATGTAGATACAGAATTACAGATCACCTTCTTAGAATGTTCATTGGCATAGAGTGCACAAAAGTGTACTTCACTTTTTCAAATACAGTCACCAAAATCAATTTTGGAATTATCTTAACAATGAAAATTAGTTTTAAAATGTTTTTTTAATTGCGCATCATATTTATCCTATCTAAAAACTGATTTCTTGTCGACAATATTTAATCTTGGAGAAATGTAATATATTCTTTAGACATTGATAAGGAAATTATGTTTATAAATTTTAGAAATAAATTTGCCTGCCACCAACCCCTGGCCTAATTAATCAATATGGCATTGATACTTTATAAGTTCATGACTTTCATATTTTATTTTTCATCTTGAAATCATCAATCTAACCTGTAATAGTAATCAAAATAGTAATAGTAATCAAAATAGTAATAGTAATCAAAATGGCTATGTTCTGTAAATCTGTTTGTGTTGTTTTCCAGATCAATATGACCTATTACCTGAATGAGATGTTTGCTACCGCAATATCTCCAGACCGGAAAATATTAGTACCTACCTTCTCCTATTTTGTCAAGTTGAACGATCTTCTGAAGCAAACTGACAAAAGGTAGGTCAATTATAGATTCTATACTTTGGTTAATAATATTTCATAGCAGTTGTGATGGAATTGGAATAACAGTCCAGTATCTTTCTCCTGTGTCAAATTAGAGTGTTAACTCTCACCATTATATTTATTTACATTATTTTTTATATCAGGTGACTTAAAAGATGAGACATTAAACTGACCTGGCATTTGAAAGGGGTCATAAAAGAAGTCAGAAGTAGATTAACCTGTGCTTTTTTATGGGGGGAGGGGGGGGGGCAAGAGGGATTAAAAGCTGTCAAAATAAGATATGATTTGTTTTTATATCGTTTTGAAAGCTATGTAAATTATTGTATTGTATATACTACTCTTTTGTGGATGTCAATTTAGGTAGTTAATGGAAAGCTTGAATAAAAATCTGCATAAAAGGTTGAATGTTATTGCATAGAGGCAGGGCCATGAAGCTAGACATATTAAATGTGCATACAAAACTGTTTCTTGGTGATCTGATGTTTGCTACAGTGACATTTGTTTTGGTTGTATTATGTCGAAGACATAGGATTAAGGTTACGGTTTGGGTTGCAGTTGGGCATGAGGTTTGGATGAGGATTACATGTTCAGGTTTGTTCGTTCGTGTCTTCTTAGATTAAGATTAATTTAAAGTTCCTAAATTTAATTTAATTAATTGTTCAAGTAGTGTTGGGTCTCCAGCTGAAGTCTTTGATAAGTGCTAGACTTGATCATGGAGTACTTGTTGCTACATCATGTATTGTACAATGCCACTAGGTTTCACCCTAAAGCTACCTTGCATTGCCTGCTCCTATTCTGTAGAACTCTTGCTGACTACCTGACCTGGAATGCAGTCAAACCCACCCTCAGGTTCCTCCCTAAGATCTATGAAGACATCATTCTGAAGTACAGCAGCGTCTTCAGTGGTTCCAACACCACTGTCCCTCTATGGCAAAAGTGCCTGCAGAGAACCGACAATACATTCACGTTTGTGACGGGAGCCCTCTTTGTTAGAGAGGTTGTCACTCCACAGCTCAAGAATGAGGTGAACCATAAGTTAGACAATGAGGTTTAAATATTACTTTCCGTTTTCATGCTGTGGCATCTTTTTAGGGTTATAAGATGATGACGTGGATCCTAATCAAATGATTGGTTGAAAGCGTACACGTGACCAGGCATTTATTTTGCCCAACGCATAATTTTGATAATGACCGGTCATTATCCAGTGGTAATGATCGGTCATTATCAAAATCATGTTATAAAACATCTTTTTTTTTTTTTTAAACATAGTCTTATAAAACAAATAATACACATCATTTTATTCGGGCATTTGTAAAATAACCCACATTCAGTACCTTCAAAACAGTCCAACGCCCTCGGCTATCACCTCTGTTAGACTGTTCCCAAGGCACCTCGTGTGGGTAATTCTTACTAATGCCCTCACTGCTGTGTATTATTTGTATACTAATGGGGGTTGTATGAGTGTATAGACTCATTTTGATAATAACTTAATGATACTGATGATTGTAAAACATATTTCCTAATTCATACTGAAGTAGAAAAGTCAGCAGAATCTGATTACCTTTAGAAACTATATAAATGGATATGTTCACTATATTGATTTCCAAAGATGTCCATAGATTCCGAGGCTGTCCAATGATGCAACAGTGTTGTCAAGTCCAGTCAAGGCCATATTTTAGTGGCTTTAGCCTTTACCTTGAATAAATTCACACAAAAGCGATAGAAGATAATATTTGTCATTAGCCTCGTGAGAGTCTGAACACCTGAATGTCATTGCGATGCAATTCCGTACTTGGAATGCTAAACCCACGTTTGACTTCCCATTACAGACCCAGGACCTGATCCATTACATACAAGATGCCTTCATAGGAAACCTACCCAATGTGACTTGGATGGATGATGCGACTAAAGAGGCTGCAGAAGAGAAAGCTTATGCAATCAAACCTAAGATAGGATTCCCAGATTGGATCGAAGACACTGTCCAGTTAGATGCGTACTTCAAAGATGTAAGTAAAGAAGATATGGGAGACCACCTTCCAACCTTTTACCTTGGTGGCTTACCAATACTATTATTGTTTTACTCTTATATAGAACGTCATAAAAAGGCATATAACGTCATACTCATACATCTGAAAGAGCTCTGAAAATCATTGCCCAGCTTTAGCCCTGCTGCTCTGATAAGGTGCTGTGGCACTCAAGGAAATTCTTCTTATCGATACCTGTGTGATTCACCCCCGGCCTCCCCCCCCCCCCCCCCCCCACTCCGGGAACGGAGGGACCACATTCATGTTCCCCAAACTCTCTGGTAAAGGGGTACTTTTCACGCAACAAAGTCTGGCTCATAATACAAAATTGGCCCGTATTGACTTTACACACCGGACCTTGGGGGGGGGGGGGGGGTGCTGTCAAAGGGAGGGAACATCATACGCGTGCCCTAAATAACACTGAGTGGGGTGGGGGAGGGGGGGCGGGGATTCACCTTTGTTAATTGAGGAAAATGTATTGCCAAAGGACATTGATTTGTGATGTGTCAGTTACTCATTATGCCTTGTGATCCATACCTGCTAGGGGTTATGATGTGGCATTTTTTGCGGCAAAAGTCAACCTTTTAGTTTCATGAACTTCTGCGACTTCATATCATTCACCAATCTCCAACTGGTTTTGGTGTTTCAGTAGTACTGTCTAACTGAGTATTTGACCTACTTATGGATTGCTACCATACCAGTAAGCTGTTGGCTTTGCAGAGAAAATTTATGAACTTTCCTTTCTTAATTATCACCCCACCTTATGTGACTTCTGTAATTGTACTTATTTCTCATTTTTCAGATAAACATAACAGCAACTAGCGTATTCCAGAATGCCATGAATGTCGGGCATTATTCTCTGCTATACTTGAGAGACCTTCTTGATAAACCGGTTGACAAGAATGAGTATGTGTTGTTTCAGAATATCAAATTCAAAATCTATCTCAAAAGTACAATTAAATTGCTGAAAATGTGGTGAATGAATTTGTATTGAATCCAGGTCCATTTTTGATAATGTTGTTATTTTAAATAGGCAATGAACATTCTGCAATTGACCTACCGGTACACATAATGTTTAAGCCATGGTTGTCTACAAGATTTCAATGTAGTGAATCATCATTAGCCATGAAAGAGTGCTTTAAAATGGTTAGTTTGATTACAGTATACCTACTATAGCATGATTTTAACCAGTTTTTTTTTAAGACCCAAGAACAAGACAGTCGTAATCTAAATACAAGGATTTCATTTATCCTCCCCACCCATTTCTCTTCCCCTACAATTTCATGTAGAGTCGGCTAGCATGATATCAATACTAGTTGCTTAATTGAGCCATCACATAGTCTTTGTCTCAAATCTCAATCATCGGAATATTTATTAAAAACAAATCAGTTTTTTTCTATTTCCTTAACAGAAGAAATGAAACAAACTGTGTGTTTAATTTTTTTGTGAAAGACTCTTGATCTGATGCCTCTTCTGTTCAATATGAAATGCTAGATGGCACATGGGACCATCAGAGGTGAATGCTTACTACTCAGCAACATTCAATGAGATAGTCTTCCCTTCCGGTATACTCCAGGCTCCATTCTATGATGTATCACGACCAATGTAAGTATTAAAGGCATCGTTTAACAATGTTGAATCTGAGATGCATGGCCCTACGTGTTATCAATGTCTGTGATATGGTGTAATATTGAAGCCCTACAAAAATTGCACCTCAAAATGATCATTAAGTGCCTCAAAAAAGTAAAAATCTTTGAAGGACCGGTTTTACCATACTTATTTTCCCCAATAGACTGTAGTGTACCCAATGATTTTTGAAATTTCAAATTCCAATCATAAATATCTTGATAATCAGATGGGTGATTGGCTTGTAAAAGTCATGGGGTTCCTGACTGACCTAAAGGTTTATAATTATGATTGCAGCATGAGCTAAATCCAGGAGTTCGTTTAGAATCTGAGGCAAATTAGATACCCAATCCCTTTAGACATGGTTGCCCTCTTCACTATCTCATCCAAAGACATTGAAGATTGCAATGACATGCTGTTTGTCCTCAAGATGAAATGTTGATTAGAGTACTTCTGTTCATTCATATGCTGTACAACTTTTTTGAGCTGCATTGAATCATTACAATACTGTATTTTCAAAGTACATGTTTCATTTTAATTGTAAATCATTTCCCAATTCAGTTTCCTGAAGTCTGTGTGTTTTAGGTATTGGATATGCCATTGATCTGAGAAAAGCAGAATCGAAGGCCACTTTGGTGATTTTTGCAACCTTGAGCACAGATTTTCTTTGATCGGTCGTATATACAATCAGTGCTCCACATAAACTTCAGGAGATTTGTGAACAAATTGTCAGTTAAACTTATCATTATCCCCATCGGTCAAATGGGTCCAGATCTTTAAGGCGACCATTTGTCCAGTTGACTGTTAGAGAATTGTATCAGTCCATTTGAGATGAAAACTTTTTCTGATACAAAAATGCATCGTTCAGCCTGGAGAATATACCAAATCTGTATTTAAGTTGAACACAGATCATACACAATTCCTCAAAACGATGACACGTTTTCTATTTGCAGGTCAATGAACTTTGGTGGTATTGGGATGGTGATGGGTCATGAGTTGACCCATGGTTTTGACAACCACGGTCGTGAGTTTGACAAGGATGGGAACTTGAGGGACTGGTGGGGTAACGCCTCGGCTGTAGCCTATAAGAACAAGACAGACTGTATGGTAGACCAGTACTCAAGCTACAAGATTGGGGATAAACATGTGAGTGTATTATTTTGTTAACTGCAAAAGTATCTCCTATGATGAGTTTGGTTTTGATAAAAAGAAGCAAAATCAAAACAGATATCATCTCTTTGGAGCCAGAAGGGTGTTAACTCATATACTCATAATTCATAATGCCCTTATAGGTCTGAACAAACAATATTATTGTTTAAGTAAGTGGTAGATTTACAAAGGTTAAGTTCTGTGTTTATGCTATTGAAGGTATTTTCTTATACATTCCAAAGAATTTGTAATTTTTATACATATTTAAGTCTTCCTTTGTAGAGGTGTTATGGTCTATCAATGGCCTACGAACTACATGGTGTGTGGTTTGAGTCTCAGCATTGGCACTCACTTCCTATGGCAAGACATTTAATGTGTATTGTCACTCACACCCAGAAGAGATTAGGTACTAGTTAGAAACGCTATATAAAATACCTTTCGGATTGCATATTTGGAATACTTTGTAAGAGATGGAGATGGTGCAAACTTTTATACAGCCTTTTAAATCCAGTGACCAGGGGAGTGTTTCACAAAGACTAAGATTAACTTTAAGTTGGACTTAACTATGGCAGGCTGTTCATGCCACTGTTTGCTCTCACCAGTATGATCTTTAGATAATATTTTTCCTTCAATAATGAATTATCAAAAACTGTAGATTTGTGACCATGATGTGTACATCCCTTGAGAGATCAATGCCAATAAACAGTGAGCAAACAGTGGCATGAACGGACTGCCATAGATAAGTCCAACTTAAGGTCAGTCTTAGTCTTGATGAAACAGCCCTCAGGGGTAATAACGATATAATTGTACAAACCATTGTAGTATTCACATGATGTGCTGTATAAATGTGCAACTATTTTCTTCTTGTGGCAGGTGGATGGTGTGTTCACACTGGGTGAAAACATTGCAGATAACGGCGGTCTGAAGCTTGCATACCAGGCCTACCAGCAGTGGCGTGAGACGTTCAACGACACCATGGGTCTGCTGAGTGGTCTAGGTATGTCTCAGGATCAGCTCTTCTTCGTGGGCTTCAGCCAGGTCTGGTGTTCCTACGCTACTCCTCAGAGTGCGGAGATGTCCATCCTGACTGATACTCATACTGCCGAGAAGTTCAGGTGAGGGTTCGGGATTTCCATCAAGGTCCTTTTCAAACAAAGATGAAGAAACCACCTTGTAGAAAAACTGCTGCAGGAAAAGAAAATGACATGAGCATAATGCATATTTGTTCAGCACTCCCCAGTTTTTCACCCCTCTTTGCCACTCACTTACTTGCAAAATGGTTTTTTAAACCGCTGTGTGTGATATTGTTTTATAGTCTGTTTACTGTTTGGTGTAAACAGTGCTTAAAGCTAACCATTGTAATGGCACAATGCCTAATTTGGGGGTAAATTGCGCTAGGATTACATATGAAAAGTTGAGAATATGTAAACTCTGAGTATCCAATCAGCCACATGGATAGTACCATCGAAATAGGTCTTCCAGTTTTAGAAATGCCTCCATCAACTGAATTGTAATGATTTCATATTAGTTACATGAATTTGCACAGACTTTTGTGCAATTACGTTTAATATTATAATACACCTGTTTCCAAGAGTATGTAAGATTCTGAGTTTCAAGTCTTTGTTTCATTGATCATTCAGCCACTTCAAGTAAACATTCATCTAATAATGAAAAAATCTAAACTAACCCTTATGTAAAACGAAACTAACCTCTACGTACAACTTCAGAATTGTTATGCGGAATTTATCTTCCATATGAGCAGTAACAGGGTTTAAGAATGTATGCAGAGATGACAAAAAGGAACATTATTTGAAGATATTACTCATGTATTCTACTCTGCTATTTTATCTATAGATGATAATTGATTTCCTTGTTTACTCCTTTATATTATGCAGGGTTAATGGTGCTGTATCAAACATGCCAGTATTTTCAGATGTCTTCAACTGTCCATCTGGGACTCCAATGAACCCGAAAAAGAAATGTGAAGTTTGGTGAACGACAACAAGCTGAAGTATCGCCTATATCAAAGAGAGTCTAAGAGAGCTTTAGAAAATAAATGTGCAAGCAAAGTATAGTGTCCTTTTGCTTTGGAAAAAGGGTATATTCTACCAATTTGTGTATTAGACTTCCATTTTATGGTTATAGTTAGACTTTTACACTGTAAGTGTGTGAACACATTGACTCCTGGAATCGGGTGGTTCCTGTATTAAGCCTATAGGAATTAAACAATTCAGGAGTCAATGGGTTAAAATCATATACATTGAAATAATGATATCATCTGTTGAAAGCTAGAAGGGCACTATCTCATACTTTTTTTTAACATAGATTTAATGCCCTTTTAGCTCTCAATGGTCTGTTTGCAATGTCATATATTAAGGAGTGGAGATGATTGACTATGAATTTCTACTTAGTATTATTATGAATCAAATTAACAGCTTTATTTTCAAGAATTCAAACCACCCTATTGACCATCGCCTTATGAAAAATATATTGTCATGATCATGTTTACGATGCCACCAAGTTTATAAAAATGTTTCACAACGCAAGTTTGTAAAATATGTTATCGATCACAGTGCCTTTTTCCATTGTTCATCTTATTACATCGAATTCCATCATTCCAAATCATGAAACTTCTGAATATCTAGAAGAAGAACAAATTTTTCTTTGTCTAAGAATATTGTAGTTGTAATGTAATTCATATTTAATACCTCTATTACCTATGATGAAGCAGAAGTGCCAAACAGGAACTTGCTTTATGAGTTTAAGAGTATTATGAATGAATTATGGTATGTAATGTACACAGAAATAAACAAAAAGTTGGTTTGCACAACAGTTTTTGTGTAATTCTAGCTTTGCATTCGGTTGTAAAATCTCATGTATATTTTGGGGATTTTAAAGAGTTGAAGTAATGATTTCTTTTCCAGATTTTCACCTTACATTACACTGATAAAACAGTACTATGTCAAAGAGTGTTTTTTTATATTCTATATTGAATGACAATCGTAACAAAATGATATTTACAGACAGAAATAGTGTGCCTTTATATTTCTGTAGTTAACATTGTTGCATGATTTACAACGAAATGAATTTTATTTTGAAACTATCTGTATGATGGGGGGATAGTTTACATCTTAAGATTAGTTTAATTATGCTCTGTGTTTAAAGTTTAAATGTATAGGCCAAAGCAAATGTCTACGTATTCTTTGTGTAGTCATTTAGATTGAAGTAAAATTAGTCTATGTTGTAGATTTTGTTATCTATGAATACATGTAGCTTTATCACTAAAGTTTTTTTGTATGTGTGTTTGCTGTGTTTTAATTAACCAGCTCAAAGTATTTTCAACAAATATCAAAATTTTAAGAAAGAAAGTTAAGCAAGTTTTCATTATTCTTTCATGCTGTTTTATATTTTTGTGTTTAGTATTCTCTCTTCTGATCAGGACGAAAAATGAATTTCCATCCTTTTATTGGTCTTCGAACTTAAAGGGATAGTCGAGTTCTGTTTTCAGACCGCAAATGCCTTTAAAGTGCATGGTTATTGCTCTTATTCTTATCTACGACATTTATAGTGCCCTTTTAGAACCTAAAATTGCTATGAAGGTAATTTTAGACCCCAAAAATTAATGTGTGAAATTTAGCCAATACGATCATACCAATTCAGCTCCACTTTAAAAAAACATGGTGACCGTTAATTAATTATCTAATTAAAAATAACAATACATGAGCCGGCTAATTGTGGGTAATATAAGCAACACGAAAATGTCAACAAAAAAGCCAACATCGACATTGGCTGAAATACGACGTAAAAGGCATTATTTTGTTTTTTTTTCAAATTTGTCAAAATATCTAATATTTGTGGTGGTACACAAGTATTAGAAATCGTTATATTTCAGCCATCTCTGAACCGATTTTGATCAAACAAAGATGATTTTGTCAGTTAAATATTATGTTCTTTCAAATTTGACACTCACATTTTCATTATCTCAACAAACAAATTTTTTTGTGTAGCGCCCTCTGCAACAGAACTCAACTATCCCTTTAACGCAGAAATTCCTTTTTTTTCCTGACATATTATAACCTGACTTTATCTTTCTGGGAATTATTTTCTCGAAGGAAATAAGAATTCAGTATTGCAAAAAAGATTTATGTATGTCTTTCAGAAGAGACAAGACATGAGATCAAATCATTGACATCAGCCCTATATTCAAAACCATGTTTTTCTGACTCTTTGCTAGTACCTATAGGAATATTTCACTTTGACAGATGCTTTGAAACCACAAGTTATTTTTCATGTGTTTAGTCATACTTATATTTATACATGTATAACTTTCGTCCAAAGAGAGCGGATTTCAAAAACATCAGGTCAATTTATATCAGCGTCTTCTCAGAAATTAGACAATGTAGGAGGAACGTCCTAGAAAAATGCAAAATTTTGCAAACCAATTTCTTGCCTGCACAGATGTTCCTTTGTGTTTTGTACTAAAAAAGAAAATAGAAATGATTAATTTTGTGGAACTTTTCACTTCCCCAACTGTGAAAGATCTTTTTTGATTTGATTTGATTATTCTTTCTCCTCAATCTTTTAAGATAAGGAAATCCAGATAAAAAGAATGATCTAAGAGATGTTGTTTTGATTGGCATCTAATATGCTTTGTTTTTGTTACAATCTGCAGGTATATGTCCGGTGTTTATGAAATATATCTAAACACTGTATGCAGGCCAATTGATGTATATTCTTCCAAAGTAAAGTAAAAGTAAAAGTTTCACACTTTTGTTTAATCTTGAAAATGATTTTTTTTTTTCCTTTTTTTTTCTTCATAATTAGCCCTTTTGAAGTTATTGCTTGGTTACTTGCTTGAAGAATTACACAAATATATTTGTTATTTCTTTGATCTCTATATGATATATGATTTTATTTCATCTTAATTTGTATATATTGGGTGGGGTAATTGGTGCTGGGATTTGCAATGTAGCCCAAGGTTATTTAAAATGTGCAGTGTGATTATGAATTTACATTGTATTTGCCAGTGTACAACTCATGTGCATGTATATATACTTTTGTTGTTTTTGCTTGTATATATTTTTGGAATAAATATAAAGAATGCATGATGCCAAACACAGTCTATTTGTTTCTTGTCAAATCAGTTTACATTTACTTTGAATTAGGTAATACTCCTGTCTCCCCCTTTTACACAGTGGCATGGCATGGAAACCAGTAATTGAGGGGAACAGTGGTGGGGGGGGGGGGCGTTCGGATTGTATGAGGCACTAAGTAGAGAACAAGACTGTGATAGTATAATGGGTGAGTGCAAAGTGCTCAAATAATCTCAAGTTTTCTTCTCCCTTTTCTTTTATTATTGCTTCTACTTTGGTAGGCCTATTTCTTCTCATTAATTTGTCTTTCAGGCACAATCTAAATCTATATTATAAATACTATTCTTTTCACAGAATAGCCTCTGATATTCAAACATTTAAATGCTGCTTTTCATAATGTTGCAAGATATCTTCATTTTAATTTTTTAATGGTAAACAACGTTTTCATGATTTTATTCATACTACATCCAGCATTTCCCTTCAATCTGGTAAAAGTTTATTTTTTGAGTTGAGTTGATTTCAAAATTCTGGTCAAAGTTTTTTGTCGAGTTGATTTCAATGACTCTTTTGACCCCCATTCAGGGTATGCGAGTGCAAAAAACAACAACAACCATAAACCTGTTAAAGTGTACACTACTTGTGATATAGAATATAAAATGAGATAAACAGTGTATCATAAATCCTTTTTTTTTCAACATGTGTAGAATTGATTACAAGTTAAAATTGTTATACAAAAGTGATACTAAACTTAGTTTAGAAGATATTAACAAGTCAAGCTGTGAAGTGGCTCAATTACTCTACAACTTTTTGATATTACTTCCTTACATACATATCTATTGACTATGTTTGAGCTATATATGAACTCTTTGGTAAGCAGAGTGATAGAAAAACGATGGAAAGTTATTAATCTGATTCGTGGGAGATAATTTATGCACGAATTGCCATTTAAACATACGCCATCTACGTTTTAGAAATGAAAATTACCCGCCTGTTGCTGTTCCATTGCAAAATTTACTCCCTCAAATGATTTTGTTTCAAAGGCAAAATTTGTATTTATTTATCTGAATAATTTATGATTTGTAATTACAGTGATTTTTTTAAAAATTCAATAACAAATGAAGCATTTTTATGTATTTTATGAGAAAATGTTAAGACGAATTATGTTTATAACTGAAATAAGGATGTTGATTGTAAGGAGTAAGCTATTCAGATGTGATCGCACAAAACAAATCACATGGGTGCCGTGGCGCGAAAGAGCTGTGCGATGAATCCATCTCTATCGACAGTAGGCCTACAGGCAGCTGAAGTGCATGTGTAGTTAACTTTGCGTGCATTTACATACGAAATTTAGATTCTAACTTTAGGTAACAACATTTAGGAGAGAATCATTTGCTGGATTGTTTTCTTACGTAGAAATTCGATTTCTTATCAACGATGGATGTTGCTGATCAAAGAACCGGAATTACTCAAGTGAAGGATGACGTTGCAGAGAAATGTCAGAAGCTGTTTCAAGATTTTTTAGAAGAGTGAGTTTTTTCATTTTTCATTGATGATTGAAAAACATGATGATGAGTGACATTGAATGAATTATATTTTTTGTTTACGTTACTGTTCCACGCTCTTTGTGTCAAAAGCCAAGGCTAAAAGTCATCTAATTCACTACTTTAGGAACGGTCGAAAGATCTAATCTGTTGTTTATCTCCCTGGTTCTTCCTATTAATCTGAGTTGTGAATGTGAGCTGTGCCTTGTCGGCTTGTGAACAAATTTAAAGAAATAAAACTGACAAATGCCAAATGACAATGAATTACAAATTAAAAACAAACACACTTAGTCTATTGCAGTGCCCAGGACCTGAGCACTATGCAAAGTCTATTTGCCAAAATGAAGCTAGGGTCCTTTGATTATTTTTAGTCAGTAATTAATTGAATGCAAATCTTTATTTTGCAACTTGTTGATCCCTAAATGATGTGATTGTGAATAGGCCTTCGCCTATGAGTTTCACCTGGATTTCAAATCTAGAGGTCTAGATCCTCCTGACTAGAGTCTATATGACTGACATGGAGTCATGCAGAGCTGAAAAGTAATGTTGACAGACTCTAGGTCTCGACTAGTCTAGATAGACATGATGATTGGCTTTATAAGTTTATAAATGCGAGAAGAATAAATTATTATTAAAATCTAGATCTAGACGGTAGACCCCTATTGGCCTAACTTAGATCTAGCCTAGTCAATTATTCCAGAGAGAAATACTCTGAACAGGTTGTGAGTTGGGAGTTTTTAGCATCTCACAGTATGCTAATCAAATGTTAATATTTTGTAATTCCAGATTCACAGTGGACGATGATGTGAAATATTTGAGAGATGTCCAGGAGTTGATCCGGCCAGAGAGGAATACTCTTAATGTGAGCTATGAAGACATCCAGGAATATAATCAACAGCTTGCAACCACCATACAGGAGGAATACTACAGGTGGGTTAATCTGACTCTAAAGAAACACAAGTCCCAGGTTGAATTAGAATCAAAGGAATTTCTTCAAATAAGAAACAGTGTTTTTGTTTTGGAAATGTTACACTGAAAATGCGCTTGTAGCCAGGATTTATAAATTGGGTGTCCATATTGAAAATAAGGGTGTTCAGCAGGAAAAAAATAGCATTTATCAAATGATGTACAGTGTAGATTAAATTTAACTATTCAGGGAATCGTCCACAAGAAATGGGAATCTTTTGGATGTCCAGACATGCCCTTTACTAGGCCTGATTAAAAAGACCAAATTAATCAAACATCAATTTTTACTATTGATCACGCTATTTGTTCTTCTATAATGTACATGTACATGTGTGTCTTCATGTTGTTCTTTAGTCAAGTTTACTTTGGGAGTTCCGAAAACTTAGAAGAAAAAAATTTAAAGACTATGTCCTTTTGTTTCAGAGTGTATTCTCATCTCTGTCGAGCGGTGAGGAACTTTGCTCGTGATCACACACAGGTTCCACCAAACAAGGAGTTCTACATTGCCTTTGAAGACTTACCAACCAGACACAAGTAAGTCAATATTTCTGTGTTTGTTGTGTGACATGGATAATGATTGATCAATGTTCAGTCTTTGTGGCATCATTTGAAATGGTGTACTGGAGAAGTTTTTACCTTTGATAACAACTTTGAACGATTTTAGTGACTTTGGAAGATTTGCCAGTAATTTCACTGATCAGACTGTTTTTTTTTTAAACATATGGATAGTTTAGGTTATGCACAGCACAATCATGTGAAAATATAGTCAAATTGGTTAGAACTGCTCAAAGAGAGTGTATGTTCTTTATTGATACACAATTATATGTATAGGTTTCAAATAGACAAGGGTAACAAAAATGTGGTATTTAATATCTATGATAGTTGCTAAAGTAGTTATGACTAAATACTAATTTGTTATCAACCAGAAATCTGTTGCTTTAACCAATCGATGCTCTCCTTTACAGGGTTCGTGAGATGACCACGGCTAAGATTGGTACTCTGATTCGAATCAGTGGTCAAGTGGTCCGAACCCATCCTGTCCATCCTGAGCTGGTCAGTGGAACGTTTGTTTGTCTCGATTGCCAGACACAGATCAAAGATGTTGAGCAGCAGTTTAAATTCACACAGGTATGTCAGTAATGCTTCTCTTTTTTGTTTTCTTTCTAATTTGAAGAAGTGACTTACAGTGTGAAGGGGAATAATTGGTAGAGAAGGTTAGAAACAGAGAGTAGTATTAAAGCATGATAGCCAAAGTCTACCGTGTGGCTTCTAGAAAGCGAGAGAAACTTAGTCACCATAAACAATATTAGGCTCTTTTGTTAGTTTGATTTTAGGGTTAGTTACTTCGTTTCTTATCTTATTTTGTGTCACTTTATGATGTGTTTGTATGTTACATATTGTTTATCTTGTTTTCTTAGAGGGTTGGCCTCTTACAAGGTTTGTTTCTTTTTTGGCCACTGCTTTCCTCACTTTATATAATTCACCTTAATGTATTGTCATACATTTGTCTGTTGATTTTTATCTGTTGATTTCTTGAGGAGAAATAAATGAAACTGAATATGCAATTTTGTTGGTTCTATGCAGATGTGATTTTCTCTATATCTCATTTAATATATTAGATATCATTAACTAGATTCTCTTATTGTCTGCTCTCTAGAAGTAGAAGAGACTGAAAATATATGCTTTTACATATATATATATTGTTCATCCCCTTCTGGCTCTAGGCAGATTGTTGTTTCTTAAATTGATATTTGCAAAATGAATTTGATTAACATGACCCTTCATGTGAAGAAGTCTGTTTTGATTTATGTGATAAATTTGAATACATTTATATTGTATCTGTGTGTTTGCAATTGCAGCCTACCATATGCAGGAATCCAGTATGCGCTAACCGTAGCCGTTTCATGCTGGACACAAACAAGTCTCGCTTTGTGGACTTCCAGAAGGTCAGAATCCAAGAGACACAAGCAGAGCTACCCAGGGGAAGCATACCACGCAGGTATATACATTATTAACTCTGAATTCTTATTTTAATGTTATTCTTCCAAACACTATTTCAGAAAGCATCTTATGAAATCTAGAAATAAGTAAAGATTGAAAATTTGAATTTGATGATGATAGCATGTAATTGACCCAGGACATTTGCTGGAGAAATTACAACAAGATACATGCGATAATTAAACTGAAAATTTATACTAGTGGTCAAGAAAGATGATTTTTGTACTTCCAATGCCTTTGCATTGTCAGAGAAAGAGTGCTGTAGGCAGTTAAATCTGAAATTCTGTCTTTAGATAGAAAATTGTGTTTGCATCAAAGAGTATATTTGTAAAGGGCTTTATGATTGAGGACAAGTCTTGCAAGCAGGTTTGTCACTTACATCTAGCTGAAGCCTTTGATTACCACTGGCATGGGATATCATGTTCCCTTGTTTCAGTAAAATGCAGAGGCAGAGCAATTCTGTTTCATTCTTACCCCAGTAACATCTGATCATTGTGATGTTACTCTTTTAAAAATGAACTACACACAGACACACAAAAAAAAAAAAAACCTTACATCTAACTGGCACTCTAAACATTTATGTTCCTACAAAAACTATTCTTCCAAGGAAGTCCTCGTTAGTGTTCAACAACAAGTGTAAAACCAACCTCTCCAACAAATATTACGTCTTTAAATTTTGATCAAATCGCAGTGTTGAAGTTGTCTTGCGAGCAGAAGCCGTTGAGCGCCCCCAGGCAGGTGATAAATGTGATTTCACGGGAACCCTCATCGTAGTACCGGATGTATCGACGCTCTCCATGCCAGGTAAGTGTGAAGTGGTTGAAGTGGGCTGGTTGTATGCTCACAGACCAACAGTGGGACTGTCGTTAAAGGGAGTGTAGCCTGACGAGACTACGTGTCTTTCCTGTGGCCTGACTCTGGGAAAATTTGTTGTCCAAAAGAAGACGAAGATGGCGTTTATCAGTATTTGCTAAGCTACACTCCCTTTAAAATGTCACTGACTAGTGAAGAGAAGCTGCTAAAATTTCACGCTTTGCACTGATGAAATCTCTGGGTTGTAGTTTTGAAAAGATTTTAAAAAGACCTTTTTATCTTGCAAAAATTAATTTGCATATTGGAAAATTATTTTCTTTTCTTGAAGTCTCAATTTTTAGCAGTTTTTTCTCGTAGTCAAATAGTCATAGTTTCATGATATCAAGTTTCTAAATCATTCCTGATTTTTCATCTCAGAAAACATCACAAAAATTATTTTCTCTTTTTCTGCAGCATATGATATTGAATTTGTATTAGGGTCAAATCTTTTTTAATGTCTTTGTTGACCAGATCTTAAAGATAAACTCCAGTTCTGGTAAAAAAAAGAAAATTAATTCTCACCGAATCAAACAAAACTTACACTGAATGTTCAAGTCAAGGTAGTACTAGCCCCGACACCATGTGTGTTGTCCCATATATAGCTTTCTGTGTACAGTGCTTGTTACTTTACCAAGACTCGGCCAAATTTATTATGATTTTGATGACTCCAGAACCTTGCAGTACACACCAATACTTACATGCTACATGATCAACTGTTTCTGATCCATTCCACACCTTTTCTTTCACAATGCGATCGCATTACCAGAACTCACTTTTATCTTTAAATATAACCATTGGTTTTTTATTAAAGAGACAAAGGCCATATCTGTGGATACCTACATGTAGTTTGTGAATGAACTCTTTTTCTCTTCTTCAGGTGCACGAGCAGAGACAGCAGCCCGTGGTAAGGGTGGTGCAGGATTTGATCAAGAGGGTGTGAGGGGACTCAAGGCTTTAGGTGTAAGGGATCTATCTTACAGGTTAGCCTTCTTAGCTAACTATGTCACAGCATCGAACCCAAGGGTAAGTCGAGAATAGTTTTTTTTCTTCTGGGATGTGGGGGGGGGGGGGGGTAGTTCACAACATTATTTGTAGTAGGAGGGAAATTCATGAGCCATCGGTGTTACAGACCTTTTTTTCTTACAGGTTGGCCTTCTTGGCTAACAAGGTCATAGCATCAAAACCCTGGAGAAGTAAATTATACCCCGGCCAAGTAAGCTTTAATATTATTGCCAGTTTTATATGAAATTGTGCAATAAGTCCCTGTGGATTAGCAAAAAGAAATTTTAACTGGAAGTTGAATTTAAATGTAGAGTTTATTTTTGATAGAATAGCTCAAGTGATCAACATTTTTCTTAAAAGGATTGGGTATCTTTGCCTCAGATTCAAAACGAAAATCCCGGATTTAGCTCATGCTGCAATCATAATTATAAACCTTTAGGTCAGTAAGGAATCCCATGACTTTTACAAGCCAATCGCCTGTCAGATAATCAAGATATTAATGATTGGTGATTGAAATTTCAAAAACCATTTTATGACACCACAATCTATTGGGGGAAATGAGTATGGTAAAACCGGTCACTCAAAGATTTTTTAATTTTTTGAGGCACTTTATGACCATTTTGAAGCGCAATTTTTCTAGGACTTCAATGTTACACCATATCACAGACACTGATAACACGTAGGGCTATGCATCTCAGATTTTACATTGCTAAACGATGCCTTTAATGATCAAAACTTTTCCACCCTTGCTACAGTTTGGTGGACGAGACATGCGAGGTGAGGAGATGACTGCGGAAGCCATCAAGAAACAGATGACGGATCAAGAATGGCAGAAGGTTTATGAGATGAGTCAAGACAAGAACCTCTACCACCACCTCATCACGAGTCTCTTCCCAACCATTCATGGTAAGAAATATGAAAAAGGATGATTGTTGGCATAAATCACTTATAAAAATAAGAAGAAGAAATAAGTCTCCATAACAACATGGTAATGAGTCTTCCCAGCCATTCATCATGAGAAATGTTTTTTAAAAAGGCGACTATAAGCAAGAAATTAATGAAGACATGTAAAATACGAATTATGAGGTTTGAAAATGGAAGTTCATGGCATCAAGGAATATTTAAATTTGTTGAATTTCAGCATTTAGGAGAATATGTGATCTGATGGTCATATAATACATGAATATATTTTGCAAAAATCCGCTTGAAGGTCATGTTGAATTTTCCATTATTTCTTTTGAAGTGCCAAGTGGGGATTGTCATGTTATTTTTTTCATAGAATAATCTATCCAAGTCTAAATCATTGAAACTCGCTCAAGAAAATGACGCTCAGGAATCTTTGGATCACACATTAGCATTCCTTACTTTTGATGGATGTGGGGAAAATATGTGAAAAATAGGGAAATTGATGGTTTTAGCCATATTTCATGAAAAAAAATTATTTCATTTTTCTGCAGGTAATGATGAAGTGAAGAGAGGTATTCTGCTGATGTTGTTTGGAGGAGTTCCCAAGACAACGATGGAAAAAACCAGTCTCCGTGGTGATGTAAACGTGTGCGTTGTTGGTGACCCCAGTACAGCCAAAAGCCAGCTTCTCAAGTAAGACCTGTTTATCTTTCTAAAATGAATCTGCCTTTAAAAAGCAATCTATTCATTCCATTTGTCCAGCAGTGGAAAAAGTAGTATCTAGTTAATCAAGTCATATTCTTTTTCTCCTTTCCTAATAGAAATTTAAAATTCAAATTCAAAATACTGTTGGATCATTGCTTGAGGTTGTTTTAACAGCCTGAATATTGTATTTTTATGGCATTTTGACCAAGAACCGTATATATTTCTTTGTGGAATTTTCAAAAAATGCACATGAATTTCGAACTTTGAAAATCAGGAACACTCATTTATTTAATGAAAACATGCACTGCAATTCAAACTTATCTCATTGAAACCACAGTTGTAATATTGTTTGTAAATGAGTGTCACCAGAAGGATTAAAGACATGTCATAGAGGTAAACAATATCCACATGTATTTCCTTCTTTATTTGTTTTGACAGAGCTGTTGAAGAGTTTAGTCCAAGAGCAGTATACACAAGTGGAAAGGCCAGCTCTGCCGCAGGTCTCACAGCAGCCGTAGTCAGGGATGAAGAAACATCAGAGTTTGTCATCGAGGCTGGTGCATTGATGTTGGCTGATAATGTAAGTCAACTCTGGATTCAAGTGTTCTTTAAAGACACCACTTTCACCGAATGATCATAGGAACAACAGTTCTAAGATAGTAAAAGAAATGTAGAATTCACAATATCATATTGAAATATGGAATGCACACAAACTTTACAAGTGTTTTCGGTATATTCTGTCAAGGTAAAGTGAATATTTCACAGATGTATATGATCTAAAATTTACATGAGTATGGTAATAAAAAGTAAGGTTTAAATGAGGAGAAAGTTTATCAGACTACCAAATTTTTTCATTATTATTTCTTATTTAGTTCAATCTATCTCTGAATGATATTGAATTGAATCATTCATAGTGCAACATCATTAACGATATCCATGTTTGTGAATATACTGATGAAAACAAAAGTGCAACAAGTAAAGTAAGAAATTATATGTTCCGGTAAGAAACATTGATTGAATTTTGTTTCTTCCCGTCTCCAGGGTGTGTGTTGCATCGATGAGTTTGACAAGATGGACGTCAAGGACCAGGTGGCTATACATGAAGCCATGGAACAACAGACCATCTCCATCACCAAGGCTGGTGTCAAGGTGGGTATCCCAGGCCAGCAGAGGGAGGGATGATGGGGGTAGGGAGATTCACTGGGTAGGGGTGGAAGGGAGGGGCAGAGAATGAGGGATGGTTAGGAAATGTGCCCAATACCTGTGCCAAACTCTATGACCCGAATTCACAAAGGAGTTTTAAATCTTCATTTACATTACCGGTACCCATGGTCTCCTGTTCATCCAAGCGTGACCACATACTACACAAAAATTGATACCAAATGATTTGGGATGAAACACTCATAAGATGTATAATAATTTACTGTTCATAAATGATTTTTTTAATAATATCATTTTCTAGGTGTAAACTTTTGTTGGACTCACACTGTATAGACAAGTGCTATGAGGTGTAAACATTGTAAAGGATATCATAGTGATAGTAATATATTAAATAATGTGATTGATATTGTTTGTTCTCTTTAGGCCACCCTTAATGCTCGTACCTCCATCCTGGCTGCTGCCAACCCTATAGGAGGGCGCTATGACAAGACAAAACCACTCAAGCAGAACATCCAGCTCTCCGCTCCTATCATGTCCAGATTCGACCTTTTCTTCATCCTGGTGGATGAATGCAACGAGGCAAGTGTTCTTTTGACGATGTCATGCATCTCTACTATTGACATATTATGATAATGAGACAAATTGTAGTCAACATTCAAGATTCTTCTGTGATTAGATGAGTTTTCTACATAGATGTTCCTTCAAGGGCTTGAGTGTCTTTGCCTGAGATTCTAAACAAAATCCTGGATTTAGCTCATGCTGCAATCATAATTTTAAACCTTTAGGTCAGTCAGGAATCCCATGACTTTTACAAGCTGATCGCCTGTCTGATTATCAAGATATTTATGATTGGAATTAGAAATTAAAAAATGTTTCCCCAAAACACTACAGTCTAGTGGGGAAAATGAGTATGGTAAAATCGGTCACTCAAAGATTTTAATTTTTTTGAGGCACTTCATGATCACTTTGAAGCGCAATTTTTTTTTAGGGCTTCAATATTACACCATATCACAGAGACTGATAACATGTAAGGCCATGCATCTCAAATTTGTAAAACTGGAAACATTGTTAAACAATGCCTTAAAGAAAGAATTTTTAAAATGCCCAAGTCCATATTCTACTCATATTTATACCTTATGCTGGGTTTACACATGGACTCCAGTCAAGTTTAATCAAGGAATGTTAGACTGAGGCCAAGTTTTCCCATTGTTCTATATGATTTGTCACAGTGTCAGGTTTTAATGAATTAGCAGAATTGTGGGCCAAGTGTTAAGAGTTGACTGCATGATCTCCATATGTATGGGGGAAAATGTAATGTAGACCTATATGCTAAGAGAAATTGATAGTCGGAGAGATATCAATCAGATACTTGAAATATTTAGTTCAGGGATTTCAAATATTATTTCCTTATCCACCCTCAGGTGGCTTCTTATGCCATTGCCAGATTATACTATCGTAGACCTACATGCCAGGAGATGGGCATGAGTAGAGAGATGTCATTTGTATGCCATACATTTCTAGGGTCCCATATTCTAACATTTGTTTTCTTTCTGAATGATCCCTCAGGTGACCGACTATGCCATTGCCAGACGTATTGTAGACCTGCATGCCAGGAGGGAGGAGAGTGTGGAGAGGCATTACTCAGTAGAAGACATGCAGAGATACCTCATGTTTGCCAGACAGTTCAAGCCAACAGTAAGTCAATTAGCCAAAATCCTTTGCATATTATCTGTTTGGAGCCAAAAGGGTGTTACCTTGTATCATTTTACACAGAGTTGAGCCCTATGGTATCATTTTACACAGAGTTAAGCCCTACATGCTCTGAACAGATGATTTGTATCATGGGAGGTTTCATGGTTTCAAATGGTCTTTCATTACTATGATAGGAGTACCATGAATTTCAAATTAAGTAAATATCTTTAAGTCAGAAATACTAAGTGTAGTTGCCAGAGGAGATTAGAAATATGTTTAATTCACATGTGCATAGATTGAAGTAAGTTAACTAGAAATATTTCAATGTAAAGGTGGAAATAGCTTTGATCATATTGTTAACAGTTCCAAAAATCATTTTCTCAACTGACTTTTTAACAATGAAAATTGTGTTATGTGGAAAAGAAAATATCACTAACTTCTAAATGAGAAACATGGTAGATTTTCCAGAACATTTTAATTCTGACTGTATTTTTCGTTCAAGTTTGTTATCTAGATTGTAGGCCAAGGTAGACAAAAGTCCAATTCTGAATGTTTAATTCTTTTCAATGTAGATCACCAAAGAATCCCAGGACTTCATGGTGGATGAATACCGTCGTCTGAGACAGCGAGACAGCGGGTCGACCACGTCGTCATGGCGAATCACCGTCCGTCAGCTCGAGAGCATGATCCGACTCTCGGAGGGAATGGCGAGGTTGCACTGCCAGGACGAGGTCCAGCCCAAGCACGTGAAGGAGGCCTTCCGTCTCCTCAATAAATCCATCATCCGGGTTGAACAACCGGTCATCAACTTTGAAGAGGAGGAAGACGATGGACCCCAGCTGGATGAGGATACGGCGACCCCGGTGGAATCCATGGAAACGGACACGCCTCCCACCCAGGAGCAGACGACGCAAGACTCTGCCGCTCCTAGCCCCTCGAAGAAGAAGGGATTGCACATGTCGTTTGAAGAGTACAAGATGACGTCAAACCTACTTGTTATCTACATGAGACAACAGGAGGAGAAGGAAGGTGGGTGCATTGTAACATCTATGTAAAGCTTGCTTTTTTAAGAGGGGGAAAAAGTTAATTGTATTGATTTTTATTGTGAATGGAAGTCAAATCGTATTCTTCTTCCGGTTTTTCTGTGAGAAATTTTATTTCATTTCATTGTCATTCCACCGACCATGTCACCGTTGATAGTGTTTGGTAAAAATGAATTTACATTGTTAATGTTGCTAAAGTTCATGTCACTCTACGTGCAAAGAGGCTAATACAAATCGTTAAGCGATATTGTACTTCTGCTGATATGTATTTATATATCATTTATAGCTAAAAGGATACAAAATTCTTACATTTAATTATGTAGAATAGGAGGTGAGTGGATTGCCTTTTGTTCACATGATCAAATTTGGGTCTGAAAAGATTTGATTAAGGTAACATTTATCATCTTGAGGTATAATTAGAACTCTGTAGGCATGCATTGGGTTTTAACTTCACTTGAATCCTTTATTAAAGGCCCACTGCACTACTTGTAATTACTTGCGCCCTCTATATAACAAACAATGCCTAATCGGTGACCATTGGTCCCCCATGATCCTCTTTTTCTTATGTTAACCTGTCCAGTGGCATTGCAGTGCGGTCAGATAAGCTTTAATTTACCCTGATGTAACACTTTCTCATATTATTTCTTTCAGAGGAGGGCTTTGAAGGGGTGAGGAAGAGTGACGTGGTGAACTGGTACCTGAAGGAGATGGAGGAGGAGATTGAGACGGAAGAGGAGCTCATCGAGAAGAAGACCAAAGTGGAGAAGGTCATCGACAGACTGGTTCATAGGGTATGTTGTATACTTTGTTTCTTCTGCAATCAATATACAGTCAAACCTGCTTTAGTGACCACCTGTCTACAAAGACCACCTATCTACAACAAGCACATTTTTTGTTTGCCTTGAAAATGGTTTCTCATTGAAAAATGTTCTGAAGGAACCTGTCTACAAAGACCACTTTTTTGTTTCCCTTGGGAGGTCGCTGTAGACGGGTTTGACTGTATTTTATTATTCATCAATGACTTTGAAGATTGGGGAAACTGTAGCTAGATCAAACCACTTGGCCAAATTTTGTGAAGGTTGGTTAAGCCTTGATGATGGTCTAAACTACCGGTTGTGGTGTTTCCTCATCATAGTAAACTCCTTGGGACCAAGGAAATTGCTTGTTACATCAAAACGTTGGCGGATCAGGACTCATAAACGGTATAATGCAAATTTTTGTTGTTGCTGAAAGTAATAAAACTTTAATTGGAAATAATCGTAACTAAACAAGAAAAACAAAGGAGGGTTTACTATCCAGTACGTTGTCATTGTACAATGGGAAACATTCTCTTGTATCATGGATTTATCAAAGTCTTTTTGAATATTCTCCGTATTTTCTAGGATCATGTGATCATCGAGCTAGCCAAGACAGGACTGAAGACAAGACGAGTCGGTACCCCAGCTGTAGAGGGGGAAGAGATGGTTACCGAAGAAGACCCCCTCCTGGTCGTCCATCCGAACTTCTCCATCGAAGACTAGGCCTCCCGGAAGACTGAATGCTAAATTATTGATATGAACTGATAACGGGTGGTGATGTCACTTGCGTTGACGAGACTGCGACGAAGATGGATGTGGAAAAGATGGGCTATGATTCTTATAGGGGGTTTTCCTGGATGAAGCTGTGACATTCCACTATTTCACAAACTTTGATGTTTTATCTGATTATGATATTGATACTATTTGCATCTCGGATAGTGCTTGTATCTACCATGCAAGGTGCTCCAATATTACTTCCACTGTAGCTCATCTACTGATCTTCTTACAAAGTACCCACTTTTCACCACACCCAGTTGTTAAATGGGTACCCGGTACAATGCTAACATCAATGTAGTTTGCTCAGCATTGTGAGCGTCTGTAAAATGGCACCTCGCTGGAATGCTCCCCAGGGAGTAGAGATTGTGCATTTATCTGCATGTCATGCCTTATTCCTACTGAATGTTTTCTCATATGATGAGTAACTTTGATTGTACATTGCTCGTATTAAAATGTACTTTAATTAAACCTGGTTAATTGGATCAACTTTGCTTAATTTTGTCAAGATGATAGCAAATTAGCCCCATCAGTCTAAATGAACATTGTTGGCTTAGAGCCTGAGGGGCATATCTTCAAACGTGGAGTTGAGTCGTTCTGCCTCTCAACAGAGCATATGATGGCATTATACTGCTTATAAGGGGGATAATTCAAAGGAAACTAGTTGAATGAAATTCAGAATATGGTTATTTGTATGTGTACATATGTGAATAGAATGCTAATTATGTCAATAGTATCTTTTTTGTACAGGATCTAAACCTCAATTATTGTGAGTTGATGGAAATGCATAAGTTAAACTTCAAAACGATTGGGTACATGTAATGTACTGCATTATCATTTATTGATACATGTTAGCTGTAGGCTGGCAATACTGTCGCATTCACAGATTATAAGTACCAGTACTGCTAATTTTTTGCTTCATGGAGACGTAAAGAAGGCATTCCTAACCTTGTACCCGGGACCCGTTCCACAAAGCCTTTTTCAATGACGAATGAAAAAAATGGATTTCAGTAGCTTATAACAAAGACTGTCATTTATCACCGATAACAAGTTTCGTGAAACGGGCTCATGGTTTCATGCTAGATGTATATTTGTAATACTTTGTCTTTGTTTAGTTTGGGTACAGAAAACACCGGAGATGAAAGTCGTGCATTTTGTAAAAGCTACATTAAGTTTGTGTGATTGCTTGAAATAAAGTTGCATTATATTCCTGATATTTTGATGAATTGCTTTGCATTTATTCTGATGTGCATGCTTTGAAATGTGTCTGTAATCCAAATTTTATGTGCAAGTTAACCATAAATGCTATCAAGAATTCTAGGCATAACTCATGTATAAAGTCTGATATAGCTTGGTTTTCATTTAATAGACTAGTCTGGATTTATTTACACATCTAAGGGAACAAATCTATCCACTTTGTGGTAATATCACAACCAGAAATACTGTTCTTTGCTCGGAGTAATACTGGAGTCCTCCGTGACACCAATTACTGCACGTACAGGAGTTTGTTAGGTGTATCGGTGGGTACACCTTGGAGCACATCGTTGGTTGCAGAATCTAGAAGGCTAGTTGTATCTCGTCCATTGAGAGCAAGAGCACCTAAATGGAGGAAGGAAAAAGAAGGAAGTTTTAAAGCCCCACTGCACTACTTAAAACTGCTTGCGCCCTCTATATAGCAAACAATGCCTAATTGGTGACCATTGGTACCCCATGATCCACTTTTTCTTATTTTAATTGAGAGTTTATTTGAGTGAGATAACCACCTGTTGGTGACCATGCAGGGAGGTCTAATCCCTCCTGGTCAAACTAGTGCGGTACGGCTTAAGTATCTGACGATGGGGTACTCATCAATGTAATGTGGAAAACACATTTATGTTAAAAGTACTCGTAACATTTCTAGCATAAGAATCGTAATGCAAGATCTTGGAATATGAGTCCTCCATTTGATCATATGTCACAAGAATATTAAAGCACCATCTGATAACCACTTTGCAGATAAAATGAGGAAGTCGGATTTGAATTTAGAATTCTGGTAATTCCATTTAAGCCATTTTATTATATATTTAACATAAAACATAGCTTTATGAGATTTAGAAAAAAAGCAACTTGCATTATTTGATGAATGATAGAGCATATAAGGAGATCGATTGATTGATACAGTAAAGTTATTTTTATCAACATTTTTCCTTCTGAGCCTCAAAAGGCATCACCTGGCAAAAAATGGACATTATGCTGTCGCTTTAATGATAACAGGTCTAAATTAGTGTTGAATTTAGATTGAAATTTTGATTTCTTGAAAGACACTACTGGTTCTCATACCAGATCAGTGATATAACAAGGAGTCTTGAGAAGAAAATGAATCACCTAAAAAAGGAACATACAGCAGATGAGATAGAAAAGGGGAAATATATAACAAAAAAACCTTAAGAAAAAGAAAAGGAGGAGAATATGGACAACACAAACACAAGGGGGTAGAAATCAAACGAAGAGTGAAGGATAAAAAGTTAATAAATTGTTACCAGCAACGTGAGGACAAGCCATAGATGAGCCGCTAAGCACAGCAGTGGCGGTGTTACTCGTATACCAAGTCGACGTGATTTCGCTACCAGGGGCGAAGATATCGACGCACGATCCGTGGTTGGACGAACTACGAATCGAGTCGGTTTGGGTGGATGCACCTACCGTTATAGCCTAGAAGGAAAATTACATTATATCATAAGGTAAAGTAGTAACATTGGCTTTTCATTTTGCTTAGTCGGAACATATGGTAAAATGAACCTCCCTCCCAACTTTAAAAAAAAAGGGGGGGGGGGTGATCTGAACAAATACTAAGAACAAATAGTAAGACACAATAAAAGGGAACCAACGGGAGAGTAGATTATAACATGGTCTGTCAACAATTATTGATAATTTCTGTGAAATTAATGTTGTCCTATTCAGGAATTTATCAAAGTGGCATATAGCATGTGTCTATTCAGTATTAAAGGAGACATAGATATCATGAGGGGGGGGGGGAGGGGGTGAAATAGTAGGTAGATGAATTGATATAGAGTGACTGAGTGGAAGACGAGAAAAGGGGCTCTTTCTTCCCCTCTTCCTTTTTATCTCATTCTCTCAGTTTTTTTCATTATTGGGGCACGTACCCCCCCCCCCCTCCCTCCCCGCTTTAGCTACGCTACTGTATACAAGAGAACAAACCCTACCGAAGGTTCCCTGGCAGGAGAGTAATTGCAGGCATCGGCATTGCTGTTTCCCGCAGCTACGACTACGGGTACACCGCTTGACACCAGCTCCCTGATGGCCGTATCGAGACTGGTGGAGGCGCCCCCTCCTACAGACATGGAGGCGACGGCAGCTCGACCAACTGAGTCTACACCCACTCATTCAATACCTGTCCGAATAGAGAAAAGGAGAGAAAGAGAGACAGAGAGAGAGAGAGAGAGAGAGAGAAAGAGATAGGAGGAGAGGGAAAGCGAGAGGAAGATGTAATATTCAAGTAATCATAAGCGTCTCCAAAAAGACAAAAGGTCACGTGACCTTGTAACTGTTGGTCCGATTTTCATTTTTTTTTTTCGAGAGATGCGAAAGACTCGAAAGAAAAAAGTCTGCGAGCGGCGGGGCGCCATCCATATGCGTTCCAGGGCAATCGGAAAACTCGTGGAGGGGGGGGGGGCATAATGCCCCCCTGGCCTTATTAGGGTTAATTGCTCCGGGCAAATTATAGTGCCCTTTTGCCCTTAGATTTCAACGTATTTAAAATCTGGAGATCTTGTTTTTGTTCTTAATTAGAATCTTTTTATAGCATGTGTTCATTGTTCTTTATATCATAATTTCGCAAATTGTTGCACACATAACATTCTTTTTCTTTCTTTTCCCAAATGAAGGATACATTCACTCAATGGGTAGATTTTTAAAGCATTTTCTTAACCCTTTACCTCCCCTTTACCTGCAATCATGTTGGAGTATGATCCACTACCATAGCAGTTGAGTACTTTAACTCCTTTGATCTGGACTTCCGTGGCTACGCCATACGTCTTGGAACCAACAATACCAGCACAGTGGGTCCCATGGCCCTGACAATCCTCCTGCAGACAAGTGATGGAACAAAAAGGGTGAGAGGAATTCATAACAAAGCTATGATATGAAATGTGTGACGAGAAGTCAGATCAAATGTTCGCATTTTTACCATGTCTAGCTATCTTTTCTAAAGAATGTTGAGTCATAGGCCTATATACGGAAATTCTGATGATAAAAACTTCTTTCCCGAAGACTTGTGACTGGCTTGTTGCAGCCATGTGTCAAATTATAACACAACTCAAGATCATAGTCACTATCTATGAACTTTGCTCCTTTACTCATTTATTATTTACGATATAACTACTTTTTATACCTACTTGTATGCTTTTTATACCGTGTTTTATCATTAAAACAACAACTGTAACGTAAAATAATTGGACAAAAATATGTCAGTTGCACACAAGGCGTCATTTCACAGACGCAGAATTGCGTCAGCGAATGGCGCAGTCGTTGACGCACCCAGGCGCGGATCCAGGGGGGGCCGAGCGGGCCTTGGCCCCCCCCCCCCGCAAAAAAAAAAAAAAAAAAAAAAAAAAAAAGAGAGAAGAAAGGAAAAGAAGGGAAAGAGAAAAAAGAGAGAAAGGGAAAGAAAGAAGAGGAAGAAGAAAAGAAAAGGGGAAAGAAGGAGATCGGGGAAGGCGAAAGGGCCTTGCCTCCCAGGCTTTTGACCCCCCCCCCCCCCAATCAAAAAAATAAGAGAGAAGGAAGGAAAGGGAAAGAAAAAGGAAAAGAGGAGATACTGGCGTACTCATAGGGGGGGCTTGGGGGAAATCAAATTCAAACGTGGTTTATTTCTAATTCCACAACGGTGGATTACAAATAATGCTGAAATGACATAATTTCCGAGATTTTTCCTCACTTTTTAGTAGATTCCTACATGTCAGGGCCCGAGGTACGGCGGGGATCGGGAGCCCCGAGCCCCCCCCCCCCCTAATTTTTTGAAAAAGTATACTAAAGAGAAATAAAATAGAATGAGAGCAAGAAAGAAAAAATAGTTAACTGCCAGTGTTGAAAAATAATGAGGCATCAAAATATGCTCATCTGACCGTGATTAATGCCTAAAACCCCTAAGCTTCCGGGGGCTCTGCCCCCTGGATTTCACCTAGGGCCCTACGGCGGGCCCTTAGATGCTCATCTGACGGTAATTTAATGCCTAAAACCCCTGATTTTTTGGGGCTCCGCCCCCTGGACCCCACGCAAAATAGTGACGTGCCAGTCTCACAAAATAATAAGGTATACAAAAAAATGCTCATCTGACCTTAATTAAACGCCTAAAATCCCTGAGCTTCTGGGGCCGGCTCCGCCGCCTCGACCCCCCCCCCCCCCCCCAGGTGCCCTAAGACGGCCCCTGATTCAGACAAGGATTAAGAGTATAGAGAACGATACAACGCATCGTCTTCTTTCTCTAATAATATAATGAAACGTCAAAGCTTCGCGCAGGAGGGGAGGGGGGGGGGACTGAATTCAGTCAAGGATTAAGAATCGAGAACGGTACAACGAATCGTCTTCTTTCTCTCATAATCTTATGAAACGTCAAAGCTTCCGCGCTTCGCGCGGGAGGGGGGAACCTGAATTCAGACGAGGATTCAGAGGCGAGAACGGTAATACGAATCTTTAATGATTTAATGAAACGTAAAAGCTTCCGCGCTTCGCGCGGGATGGAGGGGGAACTAAATTCCGATGAGGATTATTTTCGAGAACGGTACAACAAATCGTCTATTTATTCTAATGATTTAAGGAAATTTAAAAGGTTCCGCGCTTCGCACGGAAGGGAAAAACTAAATTCCGATGAGGATTATTTTCAAGAACGGTACAACGAATCGTCTTCTTTCTCTAATGATTTAATGAATCGTAAAAGCTTCCGCGCTTCCCACGGAAGGGGGGAACCTGAATCCAGATGAGGATTAAGAGTCGAGAACTGTACAGCCAATCGTCTTCTTTCTCTCATAATCTTGTGAAACTTAAAAGCTTCCGCGCTTTGCGCGGGAGGCGGAGGGGGAGTCTGAATTTAGACAAGGATTAAGAATCGAAAACGGTACAACGAATCGTCTTTTTTCTCTAATAATTTAATGAAACGTCAAAGCTTCCGCGTTTCGCGGAGGAGGGAGGGGGAAAATCGCACCTCCCTGCACCGACCCCCCCCCCCCCCCGCATTACGTCACTGTTGGTCACCATTACGTACCAATATTTGGCTCGCTAAATTTCAAATTTGGGCCCCCCCCCCCTAAGAAATCCTGGATCCGCGCCTGGACGCACCTTATGAGAGCGATATCATACAATAGTGAACGCCATACGAACACTGCAAACATTGTGTTGAACTGCTAGCGCATGCACTAAAATTTCATCCATTTAACGGTTCAATTAGCGCAGGTAATGACGCAATCGAAATGGCGCAACAGGCACAATTATTGTGAAACAAAGAACAATAAATCATCTTACAGCTGTGCCGCCCGTGTATGTCCAGGCATGGGTCGCACGACCTTCAAAGTCAACGTGATCTTGGTTTACACCTGTATCTATGACGTAGACGACAACATCCCCTCCAGTAGCTGCAAAAGCAAATAAAAATGGGAATGGGATAAGAATCAGGCATTGTAAATAAATATATAAATGAACAAACAATCGAACAAAAGTTTAATGACTATGAATTATAAATCAGAGAAAAGTATTAGACACTAAAGAATAAAACAAAGAAGCAATCAGAGGCTGTATCCATCGGGAGAAAAGGGATTAGACATTGCGAAAAATGAAACAGGGAAACAGGGGAATGGTTTGATATAAAAGGAAAATATGTGTAAATTATCAACAAATTAAAAACTCCTTATTTTACAGATAACATAGCAAAGACCATTTCAAGAAACCAATATACAAAAAAAAAATGATATAATGAAAAATGACGAAGATGATGACGATGATGATGATGACGATGATGATGATGGTGATGATGATGATGATGAAAATGAGGAAAAATCATATAAATAATCTCTTTCAGTAATAGAAACATTGATATCATTAAAAGATCGTCATAATGAGAAGATCAGTGACATTTTATGTTGAACAGATAGAACTATATCTACCAGAAGGTGTGTAGCTATTGTCAAGGGGTAGGTAGCGTTGGTCTACTCTATCAAGTCCCCAAGATCCAACATTCATGGCTCGAACTACACCATCTTGCTCCACGTATTCGACATCCGGCAGTCGACGTACCTGTAAAAAGGAATAGTGCATTAATTCAATATAAAACATTGCGTTTAAGAAGCTTTCTAGCGTTCAAAAGAACGTTGAATCTATAGCTGTAAGCAAAATGGTATCCTGTAACTGATTTCACCCTTCTTTTTATCATTAAGAGGATTTTAATACTCTAAAATTAAGGTAAAGCATAGGCTGACATGAACAGAATAAATTGTTGACTATTATCATCGCCGTCATATTATTCTTATCATCGCATTTCACACAAGCTGACCATATCTCTAACGTCATCTTCATGATCATCAACACCATTGGCGTTATTTTCGTCGTCGCCATCAGTCATCATCATCATTATCACCACCACCACCACCACCATCATCATCACCACCATCCTCATCATCATTACCATCACCATCACCATCGTCATCTAAATAAGACCTTTGCTGGTTATGACAGGATACCAGATGTCACTTTATGGCTTAGTGTATAGCAAATGGCTTAAACTTGGGCCCCTCTCGTTTGGGAGGGGACACCATCATCAGAGTTAGGATTTCGTTTGATTAAGGAAGAGGGGGAGGGTGGCGACGACGAAGCAAAATGGGCATCCTCCGGTGATTTAGAGATTTTGTATTTAATACTAGCCTGCTAAATCAATTAATTATGATTATAGTTCAGTGTCATTTTTTCTTGTTTTGTTGTTGTACATTTTGCCTAGTTTGTTTTTCTATTGTTCTTTGCTTCATAGCCATTCTATGGTGGGGAGGGGTGATTCCTTGCCCCAGTGTCAGTCCGTAGACCCAGAGGATGATGCCCTGGGATGGGGTAAAAGCTTACCATAATTCAAGAGCGTATCAGAAAGTCGAGCCGAGAATCCTTGGAAGAGTCGGTTATAACGATGTTCCACATGACCACCAGCAAGTCTGATTGTAGATACACAAGACTCGATATCGGCGTTGGTCTGTAAGCAGAAATAAGTCATTACAAAATAGGTAATAAATATTCCCTTCATGTGGAGCCGATATCCAGCTTCAACTTCGTCAATCCATTGTTTGATCCACTTTAGATTTGAAGAAGTATTGATACCTTCATATTCGTCAAGGTACTATGTGGAGCCTTGACCCGGAGCCATAATGACTTAAGAAAATTACACCATCGCGTTATTCCATTTAGCCGTCACGATTTTACCTAACTCCGGGCACACTAAGACAGAACTTGTTTACATCAATGTTAGAAGCAGAATTATAGAAGACTTGTAGTTTATACATGTATATGAATTTGAAGAGCATATCTTCCTTCCAGGGGCGGCGGAGCGACTTCCAAGGGGTGGGGGGGGGGGCACCAACAAAAAGGGCACTTTCTGGAGAAAATAAAAGGGCCACGTTCAAAGGGAAATCTCAAAGCGAAAATATAATTTTTTTTAGACATGGCTATTTACCCCTAATTTGCGAGAGAGCGAAGACAATTTTAAGATTTGTGAGGTAGCAATTCGAAAAATTACATCTCATAAAGAGGAAAAATCCAATCCTGATGGGGTTATAAGCACATTCTCATAACGGTAGACTGAAAAGACCTTCGATAACTGAAGTAACATAATTGTATCATCTATAAATGCGAGTGAGTTTTGGGAAATTGCTCTTAGTTGCTTTGAATTAGGGGCACGTTTAATGATGAGAGGAAAAGGGGAAAGGGGTAGACACTTATTAGAAAAGAAAAGGTGCACGTGTCAAAGTGCAAAAGGTTATTATCAGAGGGGGAAATGGGCACTTCTCACACCACAAAAGAGGCACTCACCAGGGATGAAAAAAGGGGCAAAGGGGAAAAAAGGAATGGGAAATGGGCATTTGTCGACGGAAAAGGGGCACCCATCAGATTTTGATAAAGGCATTTATAAGAGTTGAAAAGGGGCATTTGTGAAAAGGGGATAGATCCCTTATTAGAAAGGCAAAGTGGAACGTACCATTGTTAGGGAAATTATCGCACCTGAAAAGGGGCATTTATAATAAAGGAAAATTAGATTAGGTTGAAAGAAATGGGGCACCGATCAGATTTTAATAGGGGCATTTATCGGAGGTGAAAGGGGCTTTTATGAGAAGGGGGAAGTGGCATTCATGAGAAGGAAAAAGGGGCACATGTCAATATAACAAAGGCAGTTATTAGAGGTGAAAAACGAGCACTCATCAAATATGAAAAGAGCACTTATCAGAAGGGGAAGGAACACTTGTCAAGGGAAAAGAGACACCTCTCAGATTTGAATAGGGCAATCATCAGAGGTGAAGGGGGCACTTATCAAATTTTAAAAAGGGTACTTCTCGTACCTTAAAAGGGGCACTTACTAGAGATTTTAAAAAAATGCACTGATGAGAATGGAAAATGGACACTTATGCAAAGGAAAAATGGGAACTTGTCGAAGGAAAAGAGGCACGTGTCAAAATAAAGGGGCATTTTTCAGAGGTGAAAAGGGAAAAGGGCACTTTCACGAAGTTAAAGTGGCACTTTTCCTATGCAAAAAGGGTCACTTCTTACAAAGTTAAAAGGGCATTTTTCCAATGTAAAAAGGGGCACTTTGGGGGTTCTTTAAGAAGTTGGGGAGCACTGTGCCCCCTGCCTCCTCTCCCCGGGAGCACCGCCCCTGCTTCATATCATTATCACTTTCTATACCACGAAGGGAATAAAACCTGAAAATATATTTGCAAGTAAATTAGTGTGCACCGTGTTCGTATTCAGCTGTTTAATCTATACAAATATCAACATGCCGTTAGTGACAGATCACTTTGGTCGTTTCATAAGACGACATAATGATAAGATTTATCATTTGTTTATCTCAATGCATGGCCAACCAACATCAATTATTACCAGTAAATATCAATCATTTCGAATTACCTTGAGCTTTACGATGTAGCTACCAGCAATCGGTTCGGCGGCTTCCAATAAAGCGGCTTCCTCGGCAATGACCGCCGAGGCCAGCAGAAGTAGGGTTAGAGCTTGAATCATCCTGATCCTGGTTAAAGCCGGGGTTAAAGCTAATCTTGAGCTCTGGTACGGGAATCGAATGTCGAGAGAACATGGCTATAATTCTGGATTGTTTGTCCTGCAGTAGATTGATTGTTTGCACCACTTAAATAAAAACAACTTCACAAAAACTGGCTGGTAATCACGCATCATCAATAAAAATCACAACTTTCATTTGCACATAGTGTCGGGCCTATCATTACCAGAAATCAAGCTTGTCTTTAAAAATATACTGTAAAGGCCTGCAATACATATCCAGGACAGCCTTACTTTATAAATTCAGAAAATGATATATAAAACAGAACAACAAAAAGATACCAAATAAACAAACGCCATGATGTATGGAGTACTGAAGAAGAATGTCGACAGAGAAATGGGAATCTGTAGCGGAAATCGAGGGGGGGGGGGGGGGGGAGAGTAGATGTAAGTTCAATATACGAGAAAAGTGCCATAGTTTTGTAGATGAATTGTTTGTTTAAATCTCGAACAGGGTACAGTCGATTAATTTCTGATCCATAGGACTCGATCATTGTACATTTTTCATTTTTCAGATAAAAACAACAACAACAGCAAAAAACAAACTAAACTTCTCAAGTAATATGGAAACTACGCTACGTATCTTTTTTCTTTTACAGAAATCTACCAAAATCGCAATTCACGAACAAAATATTACCGTTTCTATTCAAGAATATATGAGACTGTCATTACAAATCAAACAAGGATTCGTAGAAATTGTACATTTTATTTGTATCTTCACTGAATGTAGTTTGACTCACCATTGGGTTGGAATAAATAATTTAGAAGACCTCTTCGCAATGATTCCTTATTTGAGTGACACAAGACTGGAGATGACATAAGTAATAACGTTATTAGTACGGCGGAAGAGAAGATAGCCTCATAATTAGGTGTGCTCTTATCAAATACAACAGCTGTTACAATACTATTTATCAAATATTGTTAATCATTGACGCAGAGCTATCAATATTTTCTGTATAAAAATATGATTTCGAATGATTGCGACGGGGTATAGTAAAGATCTTAACTATTAGTTTGGATAAGATTCTATTTTGTTCAGGGTTCATTTCGATTCATTATTTGAATGCTTTTTCTTGACCAATCTTTTATTTTTTTTATTTTTTTATCAATCTCTTCCCTTCCTGGTCCTGTCCCTACCCCCACCCCTCTCTGCCTTTCCCTCCCCCTCTCTCTCTCTCTCTCTTGTGATCTTCACACATACACACACACACACACATTTTTCTTTCTCTCTCTTTATTCTTCATTTCCTTTTCTCGTATAAAAAAAAAATCCCGATTCTCTCACCGACTCATGCATATACATAATTATGCATCCACTTAGTTTCTTTCTTTCGATTCCCTGAGAACCTGCACCGTCTCTTGTTTCACTATCTTTATTCATTTTGTTCTGAAACTATTCATCAAGCTGTCATAGAATACGTAATTTATATATCTGTGCTTCTTGCTATACTATATAGCTACTATTTTCCATATACTGTATAACTGGATTTGATGGAGGAAAATGAAACTGCTTGACCTACTTTGCATTCATAGAAAACAAGTTTTCCATTATTTCGATAAAATAATAATCACAATTGAGACGCGTTCACAAGAACGAATTTGATACATTTTAATTCATTACATTTCACATACACAAGAAAATAACGACTTTGGCTTAGTGATACAAAATGTACACAAATATAATAATTTTACAACAAAATAAGACTTTTAGTCATCCGAAAGTGCGCTGTAAGCTATGATTAAGTAAATATTGGCATTCATGTGCGTTTTATGGTATTACATTAGAAAATAGTGTGATTTAATATATATAATAATGATACATTTATAACAGGTGATATTACCATGATTAACGACGTGAATAAGATTCACATGGCTCCAAACACAGTTACGCCTGTATAAGGTCTGTCACTGAGAAACGTAATAACTCTTTTGATAAATGAATGTAGATTGTTCAATCCTAAAAAGACTGGATTATTGTGGATACTCTCCTGTCTCGGCCTTTGATCAACGAAAACTTCTGAAACTTGGCACATAGATAGAGAATTATATAACAAATATGCGCATGAAGTTTCATGTCTTCATCTCAAAGTGTTTGAAAAAGAGCGCTAATTGAGATTGACAATTCTGCATTGATAAGTCTGTTTTAGACGCTTTCCGTTCCTCTGTGGTTGAATTTGGAAAAAATTAAGTTTTAAAAATGCGAAAGTATTAGACTATAAAATCAATTTAAGTTTTTTTTATTACGATATGTTATTGTACCTCTAATGATCATTTCAAGCCCAATAAAGCATAGCTGTGGGATACTGAATGAAATTGAATTCGTTTGCACGGAAAATAATGAGTTACGTTATGACAAACGATCTGTGTGTTAATATAAAGAGTAACTGATATTTTCACAAAACATAACTGTCGCAAAGTAAATTATCAATGTCAAATAAGCGATTAAGTATTGATTCATCAACATTATCTACAACACCGAGTGTGTAGAAAACAGTCCAAATTGAAGGCCCTTATTGAATGAATACCACATAACAAAACATACCTTTTTAGACTTCAGTTGCATCAGTTATGATATCAATAGATTAATTCAATACTTCTGCAGCTTGTACAATTTAACGGATTTGAAGGCCTTCAATTCTATGAATAATACTAAAAGTAGCCCTCTTTAGAAGTGCGAATATGCAATCTAAATTATGCACATAAATAAAATATATATAAAACTTATTCAACCCTGTTGAGCCGTCTGTAAATCTAACTCTTTTCAATACGAGTCCACTCACTAGACATGTTGTTTTCTGCATTCAATTTTATTCATTTAAATCAACCTACATTTATTTTTCTGCCAAACTTACAAGATAAAGCCCATAAAAAACCTTTCTTTTCTGATCGTACAAGTATCAACTGTCTCCCTTCGTCATACCCACACAAACGCAGCATAATTTTCAATCGCCTCTATGATATATAAAATGTGTTTGCTATATATACAGCTGTAATGCATTGTCGAACACTAAAATTGAATATATTCATGCACTTTTTAAGAGGATTTTATCATGAAAGATATAATCCTGACTAATAATATATCATAAATGAAAGAAATTATGGGAGGCACATTTTAATTTACAACATGACAAAGCTTTGGAGAAAAAAATAAAGCCCATAATAACGAAATTATTCAAAATGCGCACGAAGACAAAAACAGAGAAGAAGAAGAAGAAGAAGAAGAAGAAGAAGAAGAAGAAGAAGAAGAAGAAGAAGAAGAAGTATCGCAAGGAAAAAAAACGTGCACAAATCAATTGAAGAATACATCGTACCACCGTTTAGCCAACATCATCTCTTCTTAAATTATAAGTTCCCATTTTCTTCAGGTTACATAATTATGAAGTCAATAACAAATAGTTCTTTGGAATACTTAACGTATCCCTCGTAGCGTTTCGTCGATTGCATTTACTTAACAAAGCGCCCAAGGTAATAAAAACATTCTTCCTAAACAATAAATAAATATTCATAAATACTTTATGGTAGATCATAATTATGCATGATCTGGATAGCTTTAAACCATGACATCAGGACCAGCCGGATGGTACATGTATTCTCCATTTTCCATTTCATCTTCATCGTTCGGGTTATCATAACCGTCCTCGGTCTGTCTCAGTTTTAGAGCAGCGTATGTGTTTCCTCCGACAGACTTTGATGGTTGTTTCTTCAATGAGAGGTTGTTGTTATCACCCCCGTAGATGTATGCCGTATCCTGCATGCTATCGCGTAGATGGCCGTTACTTGGTGCGTTAGGTGCATGTATCCCACTCCTGCCGCCATTTAGTTTACCATTCTCCTTTGGTGATCTGTGCGATTTGTTTGGCTTAAGATACGAATCGCTATCTAACGCCGCCTCATCTGCGGCTGGATGATCGTCGAACTCTAGGTACACCGGACGAGACTGCGAAAGGGGTTGGTATTCGTCCGGAGACTGTGGAGCTTTTGTGTTATTTGTCAAGCGAGATTCATAAACAGGGTCGTATCGATCATCCATTGTACTACCCTGAGATTGCGAGCCGTATGAAGATGGACCTGACTCGGATGCGGTACGTCCACTTCCTCGGCTATCTCGCGCTTTTGACTCTGGAAGGTCCGTTTCGTCACGTCCATAGGGTAGCTGATAAGTTTTCCTTTTGCTATAGTCTCCAATTGAGCTGGCTGGACTCCTTTCGAGGAGTTGATAAACTGGAGCGTTTTCGTCAACACTATCAGCTTGCATGGTAGGTGGGGCCTGCCCTCCATCTGTCATATCCGGTAGAGACCTCCACCTGCGAACACTCTCAGGAGACCTTCTTGGTCTGGACTGGTACTGTCCATGTACAGGAACGGGTGTGAATGCAGCGGAATCGTTCTTCTTCGAGCGAGGAACACCTTTATGTCCATTCCTGTTCAAGCGATTGTAATCTTCCCCTAGCGTAGTGCTTCGACCCCTTCCTGTCTGGTTTGGTACAAACCTCCTGTTGCCTCCATCTTTCAACGCCTGGCGAGCCCGGATCCTATCAATAGCCCTTCCTACATCTGCGCTGTTAGCATGCGTATCAGCTGTGTTGCTCCTGTACCGGTGGGGTTTCGAAGCCTGGTGCTGACCTTCAGGATCTGACAGGGAAGGCGTTACCTTAAGGTGCATGTAAGGCAACCCCTGCTGGTCACTCTCGGGTAGGTACTTGGTATATCCGTAGTCATCTTGGGGTGCACCAGGACCATCTGTACAATCGGCCAAAGCTGGATTGACCCCTGGTAGAAGGCTCATTTGCCGGACTGGTGGATGGGGAGGGTCGCCTAGGAGCTCGATGTCTGATACTGACCGATGGATTGATGGATCTGGGTTGAATGAGTTGATTGCAGACAGACTCTCACTTCGATACAACCCGTTTGGATAGGCTCCACCTCGTCTGGCAGGACCTGGTAGATGAAAGATTGATGAAACATAGCGAATTAGGTTCCTAATCATATCAAATGCTACCTTCTCGTTTATATCTTATAAATTTTCTGTACAAGTTCATCTTAAATGTGCATCACATTTTGTAACCTAAAGCTCATGGAAAATATTCGAATTAGAAAATTGAGTGGTATATAATATTGTTAAAAGGCAAAGTATGAATAAATCACTAACATCAAAACTGTTTGTCGGACCTATCACCTTTAAACAATAATTATTCCCAGAGCGATGAGAGCTAAAATATACAGTGTATCTCACATTAAAGCTATGTTCACATTCTGCAGACAACAGTTGAAATATTTGGTTTTTAAATTCAGACAATGATACAACTCCAATCTGAGTGTCATGACACCTCAATCATTTTAACATTAGAGGTTCATCTCAAACAATTAGAAATATCTACTTACTGTTGTTCGCTGATGTCATTTGGATTTCTTCGATCGTTGCATAATCCCGGTTCTGAGTGGGCATGTTGCGCCTGTAATGTAAACATTGAGAATATTTACCAATGAGTTCAAATTCGAAGGGCCTCCCTAAATTTAGGCATAATATACTTCAAAAGAGCATTTTATGTTTGTCACACACAGAGATCATGTCTGGTTTATTGAGAGTCAAACAATATAATAAAAACAATACAAAATTATCGCGAAACCAGTCCATTGCGCAGTCCGGTGCACATGTCAGCTCGTCACCATTAAATTTTGCATCAATTTTCAAGAGGACATATTCAAAGTGTTTATGAGTCAAAACATTTTACCACTAGCTATAAGGAGCCAACAGCTTACCACAGCACATCCTCTGGCAAAGTGGGAGTGATCTTACTCAGGTACGTGTTTAGAAGATTACACATTTTTTTAAACACTGTAACTAAACCAAAATAGAGAAATTGAGATATAAACATTGACATCAAAGAACGAAGGGTTTTTGGTCCATTCTTGAGATCCACATCGTCATACCAGGTCCTATTTTGCATATAAAACAAAGGGATAAATCATAAAAGCAAAATAACTTGTAGGGTTTCCATTCCACTTATCATAGTTAGAAGAGACCTTCATAATCTTCTACATGTGACTAATATGAACTTGATTTTTTTTTTTATCCCAGACTTAAATGAAAGGAGATGATAAGTGGCATGACTTGGTCTTACCTGGGAGGAAGTTTTGGAGCTCGATTCTTGTTATTTTTCCTTCGAAAATAACAAACGAACACGACGATGAGGCAGATGAGGAGACCGGCCAAAAAGGTGCCCACAGCAATTCCCAAAATTCGAGCATCAGCGGGGGAGAGGCCTGAACCTGTTTCAAGAATACGTAAATCATTTGTCAACTTTATTTGCTTTGAATCACACCTTTAAATTGATATAAACCACTGTGGTCAATATGGTATGGTATAATCAATCTATTGCAACCAGTGGCGTACGCAGGATTTTTTCAAGGGGGGGGGGGGGGGTTAAAATCGGGCCAAAAATTTCGCAACGACTCAGCATTATTATTTTGCTCCCGAAAATTTCAAAAACGCGCCGGCCGAAAAGTCGCTCAGTGGTGGGGGGGGGGGGGGGGGGGGGGGGGGGGTGGTAAGCGAACACTTTTTTTTTTTTTTTTGAGTCCAAAAAAATCGCAACGTCTCTGCCAGCCGAAAAGTCGCTCAGTGGGGGGGGGGGGGGGGGGGGGGGGGGGGGGGGGGTAAGAGAACACTTTTTTTTGGGGGGGGGGGTAAGAGAACACTTTTTTTTGGGGGGGGGTCTCGAAATTTAAAAATTTGACATTTTGTTCCGTTGGGGGGGGGGTAAGGTCACCTTTTTTAGGTCAGTCATTGGCATAATTTTTTTTTTTTTTTTTTTTTTAAATAAAAAAGGGGGAGGGGGGATTTACACAAAAAACATATACAAAACATACACATACACAGGAGGGGGGTTTAACCCCAACCCCCCCCCCCCCCCCCCCTGCGTATGCGCCTGATTGCAACCACCAGACTCACTACTCATTCTTATTTGCGTACGATATTCACAATACGCTGCTGTTGGAAGTATATTTCTGTGACATTCAATAATTAATGAAATACAATTCGTATCATTCAAATGTATTACACGTGTCGTACACTGCTGTATCATATTAACAATTATTACCCCGGGTTAAAATGACAATGTACTGAGGGTGGGTATCACAACATAAGCGACTCATACTAGTCTCTTCCCATATTCAGTACCATGTTCTGGTGTCTAATTATCAAAATGTATGCATACTGTTACATTAAAAGCAACCCACAAGTTGAATCCCATGTCATAACATCGATGATATCTTGACGAAGTATAATATCTTGATTTAAGTAAAATACATTAATAATATTATTTTTCATTATTTTGTATACGAATACGAAGAGTTTACTAGTAGGAAATCGTGCTACAGTTAGATTTTTGTTTTACAAAATTGTATTAATGCGATATAGTTTGTTTGTTTGTTTGATTGATTTTATTTCTGCGTTCAAAAATATACAAATTCAAAGTCAAAGTACAAAATTTCGAACAATAACAAATACAATGAATACAATGTTTACAAAAGTAATTAAATGAAAAATCATGTTCAATTATATCATTCGATAAACATGTACGAAGCATACAATAACATAAGAAATATGAAATATTTTCAATAAATTAGAGAGGTAATTCGGAACGCAGGAGACCACCTGTATAAAAGGATAGCAACTATCAACGCAAAAGAGAACGCTCTCAACATCTCATGAATTAATATACATTGACAATGGTTTCTTCGTAACCATGACAACAGGCAACTCACACAAAGATGACGGGAAATTGACTAACCTGTTGGTTCTGGTTTTCTTGGAATAACTACGTCAATCTGACGACCGGTCGTCATTCGGGTCCTATGAAAGATTGATGACAAATTTTGAAATTCTTTTAGTACATCATCATCCAACATTAAATAATACATGAGTAATTTAGAATTATTATTTATTTATTTATCAAATTTCTTTAAGACATTTTTTCCATGACCATCATAATCCAGGAGGGGCATCAAACCCTGATGTGCATGGGGGCAGCTCCCCCTAAATAGTTTCACAGCATTGTGTATCTATAGAGCTTGTGGGGTTTTTCATCAGTGTGGTTACGCCCTCCCCAATCCTGGAATCGAAGTCCCTAAATAGCATTGTGTGACTTGAGTGCTTCAAGTGGGATCAGTGCCATAAACAAAATCTGTGTTTTCCTCGAAAGCTATTAATTTCTGGTCGTGAATATGAAGTAATCCTCTGAAGAAAACGAAAACGAAATGCTTATTTGCATGCGACGGAAAAATTCAATCCTACATGCACCTCAAAATTTCAACCCTACATTATGCGCACATTAAGGCGTCATTTCGATTGCGTTATTAGGTACATGCGCTATTCAAGCCTATGGAGGCAATATTATTAGCGAATGCGCGTGTAATTTAACGCATTGTTTTTGCATTCACTCTCGCATTGCGCGTCAAAGGCCGTGCTGTCTGCTGACACTGTCCAACGCCAGCAAATGACGCCTCGTGTGACGTAAGACTGCGTCAGCAACTTGTCTGACGCATCATGTGATAGTGTGACATCGTACAAAGCGTAGATGCAACATGACCATTGTACACGTTGTGTTGATTCGCTGGCGCATGGGTTGATTGACCTCACATGTCTAATTAGCGCAGGTATAATTAGCGCATGTATAATGCAATCGAGATGACGCATCGTGTGCAATGGCATCATTGATACTTACGTCATTGGAACAAATGGCGTTGGCGTTGGCGGTAAGGCTATGCCGCAAATCGGGTTACACTGAGGTGCACAGAACTCGCTGAGCACCACGTAGCTGTCTGGTTGACTGGCGTCCCAAGCTCTGAGAGCGTAGTCTGTACCGTTTGTCTCGTTCTTGAAGAAGACCAGAGGGTTCTGTCTCGTCTGAAGACAAGTCTTTACGTTAGCCTCCCGATTCTGAGCGATAACCACCTTGTTTGGGTCGTTGGGACACGTTCCGAAATCTGTATAGACAATGGTATTTCGGAGAGGACATATCAAGTATTAATGCAATAACTAGTACAGCAAGGATGTTACCTTCGAAATGATCTGTCTCCGAAAAATATTGGGTTTAACCAGACTAGACAAAATAAGAAACATAACAATTCAGAGGACTCTAGGACTGGATGAAACCATTCTGGACAAGATAGCCCCAAAACGGCTGCGATTCTTTGGCCACGTCAACAGGATGAGACCATCACGATACCTAAAGATACTCCTAACTTCTAATATTCATGGTGATAGGCCCATGGGCAGACCAGCCAAGAAATGGCTTGATTGTGTAAAGGCTGATTGTGCTACTAGATCTCTGGGATCCCTCACAGAAGTGACCAGAACTTCACAAGATAGGAAGATCTGGCTTGAGGTCATGAAGCAGAAGCCATCACACATCTCCCAGATGGTGCGGAAGGCTTAGGTCAAGGTAGGTCATGAATGTTAAAGTAAATAAAGTCAATTTCCCGCTTAAAAAAGACTATATCCTTTTTATTTTAATACGAAAAAGAACCGCGATATCTCCACCTTATCAATTTACCATGCCCATCAAAAAGTGAAAACAAAAGTGTCGCAGGGGCTGATCTTCTTTGGCAATATAAACTTTATAAAATTCTGACATTTGCGGCCGGTTGAAGTGTGCGGGCAAAAAATGACTTCTTCTCTTAAGTTGAAAGCTATTAAGTACTGTAACTTACCTATAAAATCACCAAGTGAGCAGAAATTCAAAGCGAACGGGTCTAAGAATTGCGTTAAGTTGATGTCAGCTCCTGTACATTCACACCAGCCCACGCAGGATACACTGTCAAAATATATGAAAAAATGAACAACAATTAGACATACGTTGCTTATACATGTACATGTTCCTCCAAATCTGTACCTGTCTATTCAGATTACCATTGCACAAACGTGTGGGTAAAATAAACACAATCGCAAAGCCTTTCAAAAATTAAACTCAATGGGTATCCAATTGAAATCATGTTCTGGTTATAGAATTCGTCATTATAATGTTTGCACATTTGAATAGGTGCTGAACAAGACTACTGAAAGTTAATTTTTCGAAAGTTTTGGCGACCATGTTGATTACATTCTTGGAATTTTCTATTCTATATTACATTTTTAAAGCTGTTCCTTTTGAATTTGTAATATATGTTTTTCATCCAAATTCAATATGTGATGGTAAAAAAAAAAAGGAAGTGTCAATAACCCCTTTTTAGTATGCTTATATGTTAGTGAACCCTGTGGTATGACTCACATCACAGTCCCTGAAAGCGTGGAACGTCATTGAGACATTAAAAAATATATCAACATAACAATCAATGATTTATACTACTTCAATACGTCCCAGCGCTATTAATATCATCTTGATACAATAGTCCCAGCTGGCCATTTTAATTGATTTATACCATCGCATGTCATATGGGTGTTACACTCGTTTCGTCAATGGCATTGATCTCATGCGGTCGTTCACCCATGCACTAATGCTCTCCCCTCTTATTATTTTTTTCATAGTAATAACAAATGTTTGTTATTAATCCTTTTCTCAATTGTATTCTTTTTTCTACTATCCCTATTTATAAAAGATAACAATAAAATCTTTTAATAGTTGTTTTACCCGTTTTCATTATATGTATATATATATATATATCATTCGGTTCATCTTGTTCTTTTCATGGAATTTTGCTTCTGAACAGTGAAATGAAAACCGTACTGTGACACACGTGAAGATAGCGTTATTATTCTGCTAGTAAGTTTTTATAACATGATGATGCGAATACGGAAAAGTAAGTTACTACATATAACTCGAGATGTAAGCATCATTAACCTTTCAAACGATTTCCCGTTACTCTCCTCGGATACCAATCACTATGCTGCAATATAAGTCCCTATTTTAAATAAATATCTTTATACATGGAGCTATTAGAGCTGATGGATGAAACCAGGACAATATTAGAAACTGACTCTGCCAACGACCCTCGATTCTCGGAATCCACGAGCCTACTGAATCAAAAATAAGTGATGGAAATAAATGGAACACGTGCGAAGGCAATATACATGGCACGCATGGGGGTGATACACAGAGAAAAGACCGAGTGAGAGAGAGAATTCAAAGCGAAAGAGAGAGAGAGAGAGAGAGAGAGAGATAGAGAGAGGGAGGGAGAGAAAGAGAGAGAGAGAGAGAAAGAGAGAGTATGTGTGTGTGTGTATGTGTGTGAGAGAGAGAGATGGCGAGATGAAGTTGATGAACATAAGATAGACATAGAAAGACAAAGAAAGTAATGTAAGAACAGAAATGGAAATTGATAGAGAGGGGGGAAAGAGATAGAAACAAATATTGTGGGAGAGAAAAAAAAGAGAGAAGAGATGGAGACAGCGATAATGATTTAGAGAAAATTTAAGAAATACGAGACAGAGAGATGGAGATTGGGGGAGAGTAGGAGGGGAAAGATAAAGAAAAGAGCAGGTGAAAGAGAGTTCGAGGGAGAAAGTAAGAATTATGGAAGACATAGAGAGGAGGGGAAGCAGGTAAAGGGGGAGAGAGAGAGGGATAGAAGAGAATGATATATAGAGAGAGAGGGAGAGAGAGAGAGAGAGAGAGAGAGAGAGAGAAAGAAAGAGAGAGAGAAAGACAGATAAAGAGAGAGAGAGAGAGAGAGAGAGAGAGAGAGAGAGAGAGAGAGAGAGAGAGAGAGAGAGATGGAGGTTGAAGAGAGGGAGAGACTTTGCTTCCCGGTGATTCCTCCCTGTTTCCAGGAATTATGACAATAGGCTCCTCCTGCTGTCTTGAATAATTTGAATTTGATTATACTGCCAGCGACCGTTCAACTTGAAATCGATTTCCCCGCCCATGTACATTATACACGCAATCAGGCAGACACTCGATTCTCACGAACAGGTTTGTCAGTATATGATTGCGAACCCGAAAAAAAGTATTCCAAATACAAGTACACCTTTTTGTCAAGATCTTAACGTTAGTCAACTAAACAAAATCATTCTTTTACCAATACATTTCGCTAGACTTACAAGAACAGTCGTGTTTATAATAATTTTATAATTTTGTATCATAAGTATACAGAACTGGAAAAGACTTGACATAATTGTACGGTGTACCTGTAGCATTGGTAATAAGCTGCCTTTATTTAGAAACTTCTATTGGCTCACGCTCTAAAGTGGTACAAATAAATGTTAATTTATTCATTGCTTGTAATATATATAGAGACACATCGGCTTGGATTGATGATGATAAAATAGTTAACAAATAATGACTCATAAGAGACGAACATTCAGTGCAAAGCGTAACATCGCGTGTTCTACGCCTGACGAAACATGAATGCAACTAAGTATCAGAATCATTCTCATAACCAAATCGTGAACTGATAGTCCTAATTAAGAAACAAATCTCATTATTCCGGACAGTAAGTGTGGCGAAAGGAACATAATGAGTGATTTTCATCTTCCAAATCTTGTTTTCGCCCTATTTGCAGACGACACGCGCGTGAGTAAAACCTGGATGATGACGATGAGTCATCATCACAGGCAAACAATGGGCGCGAAAGCAGAAGTCATGCGTTCACCGATTCGGTAAGAAAGATACCAGTATGTAGATGCAGCGTGGCGCCGTCGTACATTTTCATGCATGCCATACACACCTTGTCAAGGTGACCTTGAGCCTTTAATTTGGTGATGACCTGGTTATGAGGTTTTCAATGACTATGTAAGAAATAATGACAATACTTAACACAATCATTCACTATAGCATCTGATAACATATTCGTACTTTCAATACATTATGTTATCAGATTAATGTCATCTATGGGATAAGGTTAGGTTTGACTAGATATAAAGTTTTCCACATTTCCAATAACAGAATGCTTTTGAAATGATTTTTTTTTTTTTTTTAAGGATAAGAAATTACATCATGCATTAAATCCAATCATAGAAAAAGACTATTATGCCTTCGTGCATTGGAATCGAAAGCGATGTTAGAGAGAAAAAATTTCCCTGATAAATTAAATGCTCCACCCATTCTTTCACAAGCGAAAGTCGGTAACGATAATTCAATTTCGCAGCCTAATTTCCACTTGCCAACCCTAACTGGTTACATCGTTTGTTTAATCGTTGGCCAGTACATCGTCTAGTAATTGCAAGCATCATTGACGCGCTCATATTATCAACTTTTTACTACTACACATTGCGGTTTTACCCCGATGATGTAGATGTGTCGAGAACAAAAATCGTAGCCTTAGATTAATCTAATATCACCATCTACATCCCTGTAATGTTGCTACAACAACATGAACAAAGATCGGTGCGCAGCCATTTTATCCCGAATTGAGCCATTTAATATTTCGATATCTAAACTGATTATTAATGTATTGCTGTATGGGACGCTTAAACCCATGAATATCATATTGTATGCTGTGAGATTACTGAAACATTAGCTCTTCTGTATGGATACGCATTACCATGATTATTTTGAGGCGCCACCATTATTCATCTGCTACCGATGTAGACATACCGACCCAATGAATCGCGCCTCGGCAAGGTGTGGGCTTATAATCCGATTTAGAAAGCTTCGAAGTCCGTCTGTTAAAATAGACAGGCTTATTCCAGATCAACACCGGGGAATCATGTTGCTCGCTTGATTGCATCCCGTAACCATGGTGACCCGTGCATTGGGATGAAGACGAATATGATACATAATGATGCTGTTGCGACGCATGATATAGTTATGTTGTTAAGGTGTAGTAAATGTAGATACAGTTATAACCATGGAAACTGAAAAACCTCGATGACCGGCTGTCCTTTATAGGAGAAAAATTAATCGAAAAGAAAATGATAAATTCTGGCCTATCAATTCAGATGCTTTAAAAAAGAAAGGAAAATTCTTAAAGGAAACTGATGAAAAACCCGATATTGCCATCAAATTAAAATATATAAGACCACTAAGATTTCCCCCAAAATTGTAAAAGTTTTAAGAGAATAAATAAAATGAACCAACAATTTGTAATGTGACGTCATTTACAATAACCTTGTGTGTTGGAAAGGTTTACGTTTGATATTCCCTGCTCGTCCTGTAGGAAAATAAAATCAGGTCGCGGAGACTTGGGTTCAATCCATTTTGCTGGTAATCAATACTAAGCGCATTTGATTATAAGCCTTTAGAGATATCAAAACAGGTCATTCAAGTGTCAATACATTTAGCTTGTCTCTCTCTCTCTTTCACGCATACTCAACGACAACCTGATAGTATAGCTGTTACGATAACGGTCAAAATTGATACAAAGATTATCCACATTAACTAATGTTTATTACGATTTAGCAATACCTAGCCTTTTTTTTTCTTGTAAAAACAACTTAAGATCCATCCGATATTCTGTTCCTTATAATTATATTTCGAACGTATAATATGCAGCATTATGTTGGTAATTTCAATGGAATTTCGATCACCTAACATTACCCAACATTTTTCCCTGTTTATGTGCCTCACATAATGCCTTGCTGCTATTTCTGACAACACCGCAAGGTATTTCACGCCCATCACATCACATCATATTGACAACAAACCAGTGACGCCATACCCAAAGGCATCTATGCTAATGAACCATCCATCTTAATTCTGGGTCACTCAAAGTGAGGTTGCGGAGGATTTGCCTTGCATGTGGGTCACTTAAGAACGGGTCAAAACTGCCGAGTGGTCAAGTACTTTGCATTCTGTCTCTTTTAGCTATCTAAGTATAGGTTACTTCCTGAACTTATTGAATATCAGTTTTCTTAGTTGATTAGTGGGAAGAAAATTCG